CAGTGTCAGAGTCAGTCAGTGTCAGAGTCAGTCAGAGTCAGTGTCAGAGTCAGTCAGTGTCAGTCAGTGTCAGAGTCAGTCAGAGTCAGTCAGTGTCAGAGTCAGTCAGAGTCAGTCAGTGTCAGTCAGTGTCAGAGTCAGTCAGTGTCAGAGTCAGTCAGTCAGTCAGAGTCAGTCAGAGTCAGTCAGTGTCAGAGTCAGTCAGAGTCAGTGTCAGAGTCAGTCAGAGTCAGAGGTCAGTCAGAGTCAGTGTCAGTCAGGGTCAGAGTCAGTCAGAGTCAGAGGGCAGTCAGAGTAAGTCAGAGTCAGTCAGAGTCAGAGTCAGTGTCAGTGTCAGTCAGTGTCAGTGTCAGAGTCAGTCAGAGTCAGAAGTCAGTCAAAGTCGGAGTAAGTCAGAGTCAGTCAGAGTCAGAGTCAGTGTCAGTGTCAGAGTCAGTCAGTGTCAGAGTCAGAGTCATTGTCAGTGTCAGAGTCAGTCAGACTCAGAAGTCAGTCAGAGTCAGAGTCAGTCAGAGTCAGTCAGAGTCAGTGTCAGTCAGTGTCAGTGTCAGAGTCAGTCAGAGTCAGTCAGAGTCAGAAGTCAGTCAGAGTCAGAGTCAGTCAGAGTCAGTCAGAGTCAGTCAGAGTCAGAGTCAGTCAGAGTCAGTGTCAGTCAGTGTCAGTGTCAGAGTCAGTCAGAGTCAGTCAGAGTCCGAGTCAGTGTCAATCAGAGTCAGAGTCCAGAAACCACAAAAGTCTGTGTTCTTTAGCTGCACGAGAGGGGATCTCAAAAGCCCCGGCATCACAACAAGTTTTTGATCTGAAAAAGGAGCTTTACTAGAGGTGCTAAATTACTTTACCAGCCTCTAAATCTTGTTATTGTTTTCATTTCGATGTCCCGCCCTCCACCGTTTCACCAATCAGAAAGTCTGTGATCCGGGCGCCAGAACTCACCGCGTGGAGCTAATCTCACTGGTAAAGTACCATGTGGCGCAGAACTAAAAAAGGTCTCGTTATGATTCTCAAATCATTAACGACAAAACAAGGAATAAAACCAGGATTTCTATCTTTGTGAAAAAGGTGTTGGTTATAGATTTGTTGTTGACAAAACTCTTGTCTATTCAGCTGTTATGGTCCCAGCTGGATTCGTCTGCATATCTGGCAACCTGAGTCAGGGAGAGTGGGAGAGGCTGCAGCAGCGGCGGCGCCAGACATTTGTCATAGGGGGTGCTTAGGGGGTGCTGACGTCTTGCCTGGGGGTGCTCAACATAACATGCAGTTATGTGCGCAGTCAGTTGTATTGGGCAACATAATCCAATAATAACGTATGTACGCGTGTATTCCACCGCAAGCGCATGGGAAAATATCCTACAGAGTGGATTGCAAAAGCGTCAGCAGCCGCCAGCCGGTGGAACTGTTGCGCGCGGTGGAGGACAGGAGGATGCGCTCCGGATCCGCGTTTGTTTACCATGAGGCACATCGCACAGAAGAGCCACCGCGGAGTTGTTTTTATGTGACCCGCGTGGGAAGGACGTGTGTTCCAGTGTGCCATAACAGCATGTCATCTTTACGAATGTCCCCTTTTAAACACACCCTGGCTGCATGCAAGAGTTGCATCAAGCATAATAATATAATCAAAATAATCTCTATTTGTTGATTAATAAATCGAACGATGATGAACAAAAAAATCTTGTAATTTTTATTATTTGTGCCGAGGGAAACACACTTTACCAAAATAAACACATAGGCCTAACAAAAACAGTCCCCTATAAGCTATCAAGTACAACTTCGAAAAACTGTCCATTTAATGAGGGATAGAAAGCCTGTATTTTTGTATTCCTTTCAAGGCTGTGCCCATAGCCTACTATTTGGATGTTTCTTGTAGGCGCATTCTTTCCCTCGAGACTGCCAGACAAAGCAAACATTCAAATCAACGCCTTTATCAAAATAACTAGACTTAGCATATACCATTCAAAACATTTATACTTACAATTTATACGTCTTCATAACAGCACAATACGTCTGTTGTTGTGATTGACAGCGAAGGCGTTAATTATCCTATCACTGTCCATGGCCCTCGCTCTAGCAGAGTTAATGGCCAATAGTCCCAGGTTACTGGTCCGTGTGTCCCCGCTGCTGTTTCTTAAATAATTTTTCAGTCTGCGCAGGCACGAGAAACTTCTCTCACAGCTCACTGATGTAACAGGAAGGGTCAAGGATATGCTGATCAGTTTGAACAAATCCATAAAGGCCTCTTTGTACGGGCGCAAAAGGTGCAGAAAATCCTGTGGGCTTTTTACAGCATGTCCCTGTTGCTTTTTCCTTTCTAGAAGCCGACGGACTTGATGTAGTTCCGCAGACAGGTTTTCCTCTCGCACTCCATAATGCTGGGCCATGGGCAGAAGTAGTTGCTTGTCCAGAAAACCTGTATGTTTTGGGGAGAGCGCCTGTACACCTTTCATCACGTTGTTTGTTTCTGTAGAAAAACGCCGCTTCATCTCCACTCTCAGTTTGTCTAACACAGGAAAGAATGACGCTACTTTAAGCACATCCATGTCATTGGTACGCGCCCTTTCTATAGGAGCCTCAACAACAAATCCCTCCAGATGTCTTGTTTGAACTTGGCGTTTCTCCTTTTGGGTCTGTCTTATTCCACTGTCGACACACATGCTCTCTGCTTTCTGTCTTAACCTTTCCCATGTCTGGTCAGTGCGTTTTTCTGAAAGCGCAGTGATAACTGATTGAGCCAAGTCATCTGCTGCTACAAGATCAAAATTGGGAGCCTGTAGCTGATCTGACATAAACTTAGTTGTTCTGAGTACATCTTCAAAAAGAACAAGATGCAAGATAAACGACTCATCAATGAGGGAGCTAATAACTCTCGCCTCTGCCCTCCTATGCGCATTGGATCCTTCCAGGATGCTGCGTAGTGTGGCTTGTAGGGCAGGAATGGTGCTCTTGAGTGCGGCAACTGCATTGTACAGTATTGGCATGCCCATCTTGTGTCGCTCAGCCGTTTTAATTCAACGCATTGAGATGGATTAAGTTCTTTTTGTTTCTTCAAAAAAATGTCATGAACAACAGATCTCGAAAAAAACCTGTAGAGCATCCCTACTGTTTCAAAAAACTCAGTAGCTGGTTTCACGTTGCGCACACAGTCTACCAACACTAGATTCAGTCTATGAGCGTAACAGTGTATGTAAATAGCTTGCGGGACGTCTTTTCTGAATTTCTCCTGAACTCCATTGTTTGACCCCGACATAACAGAAGCTCCGTCGTAACACTGCCCAACACAGTGATTGGCATCTATTTTACATTGGCTCAGAGTGCGTTTGATGGATAAGAGTAACGACGCCGCGTCAAGGCCTTCTGCAGGGGTGAAATGCAGAAATTCTTCACGCACATCTCCCGACTGTGGATGCAGATAACGGACAATAACTGAGATTTGTTCTTTTTTGCTGACGTCCTTGCTTTCATCAACAAGAAGCGCAAAGTGCTCTGCCTCTCTCACTTCATCACTGATTTCGCTTCTTATTATATCAGCCATAACGGATATTATTTCATCCTGGATATCATGGTGAGTGTACTTTGCATTCCCACTTATGTTTGAAAGTTTCTTGGCCACTGTTTTGTCAAATTTAGCAATGATATGTAAGAGCTCCAAAAAATTCCCTTTGTTTGCGGACTCCTCATCTTCTCTGTGGCCTCGCTGCGCTATGCCCTGACAGGCCGTATAGCGAAGGCTCTCAACTACAGCTCCAATGTATTGTCTGTTTTCTTGTACTAACTGCGAGTGTCCTTTGTCTAACAAATTGGCCATTTTTGATCCTCTGGTCCCCTTTAGTTTAAATTCACCCCAATGGTCCATTGCAAATTTGTGACCAGCACGTTCGTTGTGACCCCTCAGAGTTTGTGTTGCCTTTCGCCAATTACAAAATCCATTTGTTGTAAAAGTTGCCTCCAGATGATGAAACCCAGGTCCCCCACGTTTTAAAAAATGACGGCATGCAAAACACCAAACTGAGTCTTTGGTAACGCTGTACTCGAGCCATGAATATAGATCAAACCAGCCTTTATTAAAACTGCGCTGCTGCGCTCCATATTGTCTTGTGGGGTATTTCTGTAGGAGTGGTTGGCTGGGACCATTTTGTGGATGTGCGCTGATATCAGTACAAGACTGAGACTCCTGACCAGCAGTACCCGAAACCACATTAGAACCTGCAGCTTCATTAGCATCGGCCCGCGGTGGCACTCTTTTACCTTCCTCCTCCTCCTCCTCCGAGTTCGAAGAGATTTCCTCACAGGTGTTTGGCATAGATTTTGAGTTTGTACAAACGGCATTCCCCGACTCATTTTCCGTAGACTCCACTCGGGGTCGTTTAGGGACCAAAAAACGCTCCATTTTGCTCACATTTATTTACTTGGGCCACTATAGCATTCGGACAGTAAGGACATTAGGACAAACAACACTTCAGGCGCGGGAAATTGCTCTGCGCAAATGTGAGCTTTTTGGATTTTATTTTATTTACAGCCTAACTTAATATTGTCTCATAATGATTGATAAAATCGATGGTAAATGTCATGACTATAATGAACATGGAGTCACGCTCAGTCCGACATGGAGCGTCGCTGACCATGCGTTCTGATGCACGGCCGTATTAACGTAAAAATGGGTCTTAGCCTGGGCGGCCCAGGCACTCTCTTTTAGTTAAAATTATTATTTGTCCCACATACTCCTTTTCACATGAAACAGCCTATAATGCACTATGAATGTCTGTAGAGATAACTAGTTCTCCTATGATTAAGAGGCATAAATCTTTGGGGGTGCTTTGGGGGTGCTTTGACAATCTCAGGGGGTGCTCAAGCCCCCCCTAGCCCCCCCCTGGCGCCGCCCCTGGGCTGCAGTACCACTTTTGGACACATGTTTACAAACTGCTCTTTTAAATAACTTTTCTTCTTCCTACTTCCTTCCAGATTACTGTTTTGGTAACAGTCTGGTGCGGGTCTAGTCTTGGCCTCACCTGATTGGCTGAGAGGAAGTCTGTGTGAATCTTGTGCATCCTGGAGTTTAGAGCCTTCATTTCCTCTTCTTTCCTCTGATTTATTTCTTCAATCTTTGTCCTGAACGAATCACAACAAATTCAATGCATGTGTTTTTTTAATTAGCACAAAGAAAATACTACATATTTCAGTCAGAATGAGTTTCTCACCGGCTGTCGTTGTACAGAGCCTCCTTCTCTCCTTGCAAACGCTGGAAACTACAATGAAACAAAAATAAAAATAATCCATACCCAATACAGTCACGGATCTGTTGTTACGGGACTTAAAGTAATGTTACCTTTCCTGCTTCTTTTTTAATTTCTCTGAAAGCTAGAAAAAAAATAGTTTTGCATAAGTTTTTTAAGTCATTTTAGAATTTTACACAGAGATCAGAGAGAGAGAGAGACCAGAGAGAAAGACCAGAGAGAGACCAGAGAGAGAGACCAGAGAGAAAGACCAGAGAGAGACCAGAGAGAAAGACCAGAGAGAGACCAGACAGAGACCAGACAGAGACCAGACAGAGACCAGACAGAGACCAGAGAGAGAGACCAGAGAGATAGATCAAAGAGAGAGCAGAGAGAGACCAGAGAGAGAGACCAGAGAAAGAGACCAGAGGGACCAGAGAGAGACCAGAGGGACTAGGGAGATCGATCAAAGAGAGAGCAGAGAGAGAGACCAGAGAGAGAGACCAGAGAGAGAGACCAGAGAGAGACCAGAGAGAGACCAGAGAGAGAGACCAGAGAGAGAGAGAGACCAGAGAGAGACCAGAGAGGGACCAAAGAGAGACCAGAGAGAGACCAGAGAGAGACCAGAGAGAGCCCAGAGAGTGACCAGAGAGAGACCAGAGAGAGACCAGGGAACAAAAAAATGAACAGTTTTGCTTTAGTTTAGATATGGATTCTTTTACCTTTGTGACTTCTTCTTGTAGTTTTGAGGTCTCTGTGTGTTTGGACGTCTGTAGATTTTACAGAGATGATAAAAATGTGTTTAAACTTTTGTTGAAATTAACAAAGAAAGATGTATTTATTTTCATATATGTTGTAAATGTTATAATCGTCACCTCCAGTGCTTTGAGCTGGTCCCGGAGCAGCCTCTGAGCTTCTTTTTCTGTGTTTAGGGACAGCTCCAGCTCTGAAACAACAGATCTGATTATTATTTAAGATCAATGGTTTTTACAATAAAACACAAAAATAAATACATTGAAAAACTAATAATAATGCATCAGTTTTAAATGTGTTTTTCTGGACGCTCAAAGTCTCTTCACATCATTTTTATTTCTCTCCAAACACGGTGGTGATAAACTACTGTAGCCACAGCTGCCCTGGGGCACACTGACAGAAGCGAGGCAACTAGTCTGTGCCATCTGCCCCTCCCACCACCACCAACCATTCACACACACACCAGACTCATTCTACTGTGGGGGAAGTGTCTTGCCTAAGGATCAGAGAGAGACCAGAGAGAGACCAGAGAGAGAGACCAGAGAGAGACCAGAGAGAGAGACCAGAGAGAGACCAGAGAGACCAAAGAGAGACCAGAGAGAGAGACCAGAGAGAGACCAGAGAGAGACCAGAGAGACCAAAGAGAGACCAGAGAGAGAGACCAGAGAGAGAGACCAGAGAGAGAGACCAGAGAGACCAGAGAGACCAGAGAGAGAGACCAGAGAGAGAGACCAGAGAGACCAGAGAGAGACCAGAGAGAAACACCAGAGAGACCAGAGAGAGACCAATCATTCACACACACACACCAGACTCATTCTAATGTGGGGGAAGTGTCTTGCCTAAGGACACAACCACAGTTTGGCACTTTACAGCCGCCCCACTGTGACACCTGCTGTTCCCAGAAGTCTCCCATCACAGCACTAACCAGGCCCTGCCCTGCTGTGCCTCAGAGGTCTCACAGGATCAGGCTTTCGCACACAGGTTAAAACTCACCAGAAACCCGTTTGTCCGTCTGTTCAAACTGATTCGAGGTCTGAAAAACAAAAAGGCCAAACATTAGACGCTCATAATCCTCTGATCCTTTGAATGGACTTCACCGAGAGACGCAGCAATGTGCCGTAAACCAAAGAAGAAGAAAAATAAGGTATTTCTTAATGTTGTGTTAATGTGAATCTGTGGAGTTCATCTTTGTCAATCTTTCTTTTTTTCATTTTACCCAAACGATCACTGTTTTTGAAATATTTGTTTCTATTTTAGGACAGTCGTTTAGTTTTTGAGTTATAACCAGTCCTGATACTCACACAAATATAACAATAATAACACAAGTTGACAGCCAAAAAATGGTCAGGGGTTTCTCAGCTGATTCAGACTAATGTTGGTGTTCTGAGTCTGAATATCACGTGCATTTGTCTCTATCAGGTCAACTGTTTGAGATACAGCCATAGTGTTACAGATTATGTCTGCGTTATTATGAATTCTGCTTATCAAATTTGATGGAGTAAATAAAAACTGAATGACTTTGGATACGTTGAATAAATCCAGACTTTTAAACAAAGCTCTTAGGATTGTCAATGACTCTTCTGGCCACCCTGGGAAAGCCATGTTCCAGCTTCTTCCCTCTGGCAGAAGATATCGCTCTCTGAGATGCAGGACATCTCGTTACGCTAACAGTTTTTATCCACAAGCTGTTATCAGTGTGAACAGAGCACTTTAATGATTTGCACTTGTTTTGAACTGTTTTAGTCGATCGATTTCACAGTGACTTTTGTTTACTGTTTTATTTGTTTTATTTTTGTCTTTTAATGTTGTTTTATGTCTGTATTTGTCTGTGCACACTGGAGACTTTTGCTAATGTATTCCAATGTGGGTTTTTTTACTGCAAATGGCAAATAAACTGAATCTGACTTTTATTTCTTGAGGAAAACAGAAAAAACGTCAAGGGTTTCTCAGCTGATAATCCGCAGAAATTAGTTTTTTACGCAAAATCGATTTAAAAAAATATTTCTGTAGCAAAAAATCCTGACCTGATTGAGTAAAACCAAGGTCATTTTCGGACTCAGAGCCTCAACATTAGATTCAGATGAAAACCCTGGACTATTTTCAAAACATATTTTTTTGTTACCCAGTGTTATAATATCTAACTTGAATTGTGATAATATTCATAGATTTAGTTAAAGTTTTGTGTCTAAACTTTAGGGTCTCACCTGTTCTTGTCTGTGATTCGCTGCTGCCTCTTTGGAGTCCGAGGTTTCTCCGTCTGCCGCGGTTCGACCCTGGTCTCGGTCGAGCTGCTCCTGCAAAACTACAGAAGCACCAAAGTTTCATTTTTAAACTATCAAATACACCGTACTTTATACTCGATTTAAACTTTGATTAAATAAAATAAAGTCTCCATCATTAGTATAAAGTTATTGTGGATTTATCTTGTGCCGAGTGCTCCTCATTTCTACTGTTCTGACATTTCAGAGACCAGAGAGAGACCAGAGAGAGACCAGAGAGAGACCAGAGAGAGACCAGAAAGAGACCAGAGAGAGACCAGAGAGAGATCAGAGAGAGACCAGAGAGAGACCAAAGAGAGACCAAAGAGAGACCAGAGAGAGACCAGAGAGAGACCAAAGAGAGACCAGAGAGAGACCAGAGAGAGACCAGAGAGAGACCAGAGAGAGACCAGAGAGAGACCAGAGAGAGATCAGAGAGAGACCAGAGAGAGACCAGAGAGAGACCAGAGAGAGACCAAAGAAAGACCAAAGAGAGACCAGAGAGAGATCAGAGAGAGACCAAAGAGAGACCAGAGAGAGACCAGAGAGAGACCAGAGAGAGACCAGAGAGAGACCAGAGAGAGACCAAAGAGTTACCAGAGAGAGACCAGAGAGAGACCAGAGAGAGACCAGAGAGAGACCAAAGAGAGATCAGAGAGAGACCAGAGAGAGACCAGAGAGAGACCAGAGAGAGATCAGAGAGAGACCAGAGAGAGACCAAAGAGAGACCAGAGAGAGACCAGAGAGAGATCAGAGAGAGACCAGAGAGAGACCAGAGAGAGACCAGAGAGAGACCAGAGAGAGATCAGAGAGAGACCAGAGAGAGACCAGAAAGAGACCAGAGAGAGACCAGAGAGAGACCAAAGAGAGACCAAAGAGAGACCAGAGAGAGATCAGAGAGAGACCAGAGAGAGACCAAAGAGAGACCAGAGAGAGACCAGAGAGAGACCAGAGAGAGACCAGAAAGAGACCAAAGAGACTACCAGAGAGAGACCAGAGAGAGACCAGAGAGAGACCAGAGAGAGACCAAAGAGAGACCAAAGAGAGACCAGAGAGAGACCAGAGAGAGACCAGAGAGAGACCAGAGAGAGACCAAAGAGTTACCAGAGAGAGACCAGAGAGAGACCAGAGAGAGACCAAAGAGAGACCAGAGAGAGACCAGAGAGAGACCAGAGAGAGACCAGAGAGAGACCAGAGCGAGACCAGAGAGAGACAAGAGAGAGACCAGAGAGAGACCAGAGAGAGATCAGAGAAAGATACCAGGGTGAGACCAGAGAGAGACCAGAGAGAGACCAGAGAGAGATCAGAGAAAGATACCAGGGTGAGACCAGAGAGAGACCAGGGAGAGAGAAAGAAAAAAGTACTCACGCAGCAGTCTGGCTGATTGCTTCCAGAAAATACTTTTACACAGTTACATAATCACCTGAATATGGCCCAGAAAATCCATAGCTCACCTTTGATTTTTTTGTGTAAGGAGGCGTTCTCAGCGTGTAGTTGCAGAAGGTCATCGTTGCCTGTAGGGGGCGATGTGGACGGAGCAGAACCTGAGGCTGAAGATTCTCTCCCTTCTTTCAGAGCCTTGTTCTCGTTTTCTAACTGCTCGATCTGAGTGCACAGCTGCAATGACAAACATTTCAGTAAGAGACCACATTAGTTCACCAGACCAGTCCAGGGGCCAACGTCACGGACCGAAAAACTGTCTTGACTGGTATCGGGCTGTTCTGAGCTTTATGATAATGTATAACAGAGCTGAAGTTGGCTGAATGACACATGTTTACCATCTACAGCCACATTCGTATCAATAACAGAAGTGACACAATCAAAAACCACCTCAGTACGTTCTGGGCTTTAGAATAAGGTCTATATGGGCTGAGCTGGAGTTGGATGGATGACACAGTGAACTTTATGATCTCACAGACTCTGGGTTAGCGAGGCAGAGGGCCACATACAATGACACTGAGGGCCGTACTTTAGCCCCCGGGCCTGAGTTTGGACATGCCTGTACTACACATAGTGGCGGAGGGTCTTCAGCACCTTGGACAGCTCCGTCATCAGGGTGGAGTTCTGGAGTCTGAAGTCTTCCTCCTGACTGTGGAGTTTGGCCTGAAGCATCTCATTCTCCCCCAAAAGAGCGTCCACTTCCTACAACAACAAAACACAATCGTCAAGACTGAAATTGTTTTTGTTTAGTGTTGATATGAATGATTTTACCCTTAACCTTTCCAAGAATAGCCTGGTCTTACCGCACCATGGTACTCAGTTCATTTCATACTAAGGTCTGGATTTGCTCCATTGACTCCGTTAACAGGTGGGAGGGGCTAACTCCTTTTGCGGGATTGAAACCATTGGTTCTGAGTTTACTGTGACGTATGTAATGAACCAGAGTGAGTGAGGCATGTAGCCTAGCTTTAGCATGTAGCCTAGCTTTAGCCATCTCCTTTGCCACTAACGTAGCCCGTGGGGAGTAGCGCCACAACATCTTTGCTTCAATGACATTTACTAAACATTCCTCTTGCTCCGGCTTCAGTTTCTTGATATTTGGATTGAACCAGAACAGATTATTTTACTTTCACATTCTCCGACAAACTACAACCAGCAAATTCAGCACAAACTCTTGACGTCACCGACACCGACCTACAACACCCGCCTCCGCCGCTCTCTGATTGGTCGGAGGAGATTCAACCGAGGAAACTGCAGCCACTAGGATCAGACCCAGACGTACATGTAGGAAATGACCATGGACCAGAGTTTACACATGGTAAGACCAGACGTACATGTAGGAAATGACCATGGACCAGAGTTTACACATGGTAAGACCAGACGTACATGTAGGAAATGACCATGGACCAGAGTTTACACATGGTAAGACCAGACGTACATGTAGGAAATGATCATGTACCAGAGTTTACACATGGTAAGACCAGACGTACATGTAGGAAATGACCATGGATCAGAGTTTACACATGGTAAGACCAGACGTACATGTAGGAAATGACCATGGACCAGAGTTTACACATGGTAAGACCAGACGTACATGTAGGAAATGACCATGGACCAGAGTTTACACATGGTAAGACCAGACGTACATGTAGGAAATGACCATGGACCAGAGTTTACATATGGTAAGACCAGACGTACATGTAGGAAATGACCATGGACCAGAGTTTACACATGGTAAGACCAGACGTACATGTAGGAGATGACCATGGACCAGAGTTTACACATGGTAAGACCAGACGTACATGTAGGAAATGACCATGGACCAGAGTTTACACATGGTAAGACCAGACGTACATGTAGGAAATGACCATGGACCAGAGTTTACACATGGTAAGACCAGACTAATCCAAAAAGTACCTAATGTATATTATTGTACATTACCTGAGCCTTTTTACTTTTGGTCACCGCCTGGAACAAAATCATTCAATAAAAAGTTAGCATGTTTATCATAATAACATAAACTGTGAAGCTTTAAAAATACCTTCTGAGCTTTAATAAAGTCTTTCTCCAGAACCGCATTTCTCTGTCGGAGATTGTTCAGCTCTGAGAAAAGACAAATTCAACAACGTCATGTCAGTAAAACCACAAGACATTTTGAACAAGGTGCATCTTTCTGATTATTTTTAGGTTATGAAACGACATTACGTGAGAACCGTACATTCTTAACCTTATTATAGATCAGGGGCGTCCAAACTTTTTAAGCCACTTTAGTTTCCCAGACTACAACCGTTTTGACTCAACTTAGGCTGATCTTTGTGTTTTGATTCACACTTCAGCTACGATAGCGTCACAGCTAGGGCTGGGTGATATGGCTGAAAACTATATCGCGATATAAGTCATTCATATCGGTCGATAACGATATATATTGAGGTTTTTTTTTAACCTAAATAAATATATTTGTGGTGTGGGCTAACCAACCTTAGCAGCCTTGTTTACAGTCACGGGGCGATGAGGCTGGAGGAATATGTTCACACTGTGTCCCTCGTTGTTAGTCCTGGTTTAATCCTGGTTTTTTATTCCTGGTTTAGCTCCTGGTTTAGCTGTTTGAGGGTCTTGTGTCCCCGTGGCCGCTCCGTGTGGCTCTCTGTGCCGCACATGCTTCCCGAGGAAAAAGTTAATCTCTTGCTTTCGCCGAATACATCGTGTCTGTCCACTGCCCCTGCCGCCGCACATGTTATTCCGCGCACGTACGTGCACAACCATTGACACGGCATTTAAACACGAGCTATAGATCCATGGACGCTACGCATGCTGCGGTTGTTGGTGTTTTTGCATTTCCCACAAAGTTTTGCGGTTCCTGCTCGGCTGTTATTGGTCGAGAAGCCTCTGCCTACATCTCCCACAATGCCATGCGCTTATGAGTCGGCTTTACTTCCGGTGTTTTCTTCCTGTTTTTCCTGACGGAGTTAAGTTAAACTATCGAACATTCTATCAACCCCATTCTCTATTGATATCAAACATATGTCTATCGCGATATATATCGTTATCGTTTTATCGCCCAGCCCTAGTCACAGCCATTCCAAAGCTTCCAAAGGGTGTGCAGCATGACTTATGGGTGGAGCTGAAGTTGGCTGGATGACGGTATTAAAACAAGGAAGGACCCAAAAGCAGAGAAGCTAAATATAACCTAATAAATGCCACAAGGAAAATAAATCCAAAAGTAATTCAAGAAAACAAAAATCTACACCAGCGGGCCACATTGAGTGACACAGCGGGCCGCATTTGGCCCACGGGCCTGGGTTTGGACACGCCTGGTACAGATGCATGTATAGTGTATAGTGGGTAGTGTATTCAAAGTATGAGTGGAATGTCGTGATAATTTCATGTTTTGATTATGGAGCCAAAAGAATCTCATGCTGTAAGGATGATTCTGAAGTTGCTTAGATAAAGTCAAAAGGCTTTTAAACTCTTATTCAGCTGTTATGGTCCCAGCTGGATTCGTCTGCATATCTGGCAACCTGAGTCAGGGAGAGTGGGAGAGGCTGCAGTACCACTTTGAGCCACATGTTTACAGACTGCTGCTTTAAGTTAAAAATGTGTGTTTCTTGTTTGTTACGTCCTCGACAACTGCTCAGATCATTTGTAAAACAGATCAATCCAGTGCAAAAAACAGCCAATAAATGAAGTTGGTAATAATTGACTTACTGTGAATACTTTATTTGTAGAAACAGGTTTTTCATATATTTGTGAATATAAACGTTGTAAAGTGCTTCGGACGACCTCGGTCTGTAAAATGTCTAATAAACATGACTTATATATTTCCAACAGTGCGTTACCTGCAGAGCTTTTCCTGAGTTCATCGGACAGCTGATAGTTCTGGGTCCTCAGCTCCAGCAGCTGTGCCTACAAGTCAACACAGTCCAAATATTAAAATATATATATTATATATATATATATTATATATAGTTAGTAACTGTTGTCAGCATTCTATTTTTACACAGAGTAGAAACAAAGTCATACTTTCATCGTAAACCACTCAGTGTGAAACCAGACCGTCATTTTTTTCCATCAAGTTTAGTTTATAGAAAATCTGTTGCACATTTTTCAGGGTCGTTTACATGTTTATACTTTTTTTTATGAATCCTTTTTAAATGCAGTGATTTCCTGATCAGAGTCAGAGTCAGAATCAGAGTCAGAGTCAGAGTCAGAGTCAGAATCAGAATCAGAATCAGAATCAGAGTCAGAGTCAGAGTCAGAATCAGAATCAGAATCAGAGTCAGAGTCAGAGTCAGAGTCAGAGTCAGAGTCAGAGTCAGAATCAGAATCAGAATCAGAATCAGAGTCAGAGTCAGAGTCAGAGTCAGAGTCAGAGTCAGAGTCAGAGTCAGAGTCAGAATCAGAGTCAGAGTCAGAGTCAGAATCAGAATCAGAGTCAGAGTCAGAATCAGAATCAGAGTCAGAGTCAGAGTCAGAGTCAGAGTCAGAATCAGAGTCAGAGTCAGAATCAGAGTCAGAATCAGAGTCAGAGTCAGAGTCAGAATCAGAGTCAGAGTCAGAATCAGAGTCAGAATCAGAGTCAGAGTCAGAGTCAGAATCAGAGTCAGAATCAGAGTCAGAGTCAGAATCAGAGTCAGAATCAGAGTCAGAGTCAGAGTCAGAGTCAGAGTCAGAATCAGAGTCAGAGTCAGAGTCAGAGTCAGAGTCAGAGTCAGAATCAGAATCAGAGTCAGAGTCAGAGTCAGAATCAGAATCAGAGTCCTTTTATTACCATCTGAGTAACAGGAAGTCACAAATAAGGAAATGTCTTTGGCTCGGTGCAAACAAGTTAAAGCAGAAGAAAATCAAAGGCATAAATAAATATCTACATAAGTTCACTATAAACAATGCACTAGAAGCACACAACAGACCCGAGCAGATGTGTTCATGTGAATCTTTGTCTCTGACCTTTTATTTTCTGTCTGAGTCACAGAATGATCCGATCAGAGCCTGTATTTGTGAATCTTTTCTTTTGTCCCACTCTCTCTCTTTGATCTGTCTGTGTTTGATTTATTTCAAAATCTTTGAAAGTCATTTAGTTTTTGAGTTATAACCTTTTAAAGTCCAGACACTTTACTGTGATCTCACATGTGCTTCGACAAATTAGAGAGTTTTGTTCAAAAAGTGGAGGGAGCAGATTTTTCCTAAAGTTTGGGAACATCCTCATTTATACCTTTAATAAATGAACTGATAAATATTGAGGGAATAATAATGACATTTTCACACATCCATAACGACACTTTAACAGTTATAGTTTCTTTATTATCTAAATTCTATATCAATTCCATTTGCACTGATTGGCTTTTACCGCTCAAAAACATTCATTCATTGTTAATCTCAGTCTTATTGTCTTCTTTAGACAAAATAGGATCATAAACTACATCAGAAATGTCCCCACTGTGGGACGATTTAAGGAATATTTTATCTAACTATATTAGTATTTCTGAATAACTTGAATCCTATAAATGTAAATCCTTAGTAAAAAACGTTTTAGCCAATTAAATCTAATAAAAACACATATTTTTATGTTATTTTTCCACTGACCAAAGTATAAACACAATGATCTAACCTCCCCAGTCTGTATTTGACAAGAAGGAGGGGCTGTCACTGTTGTTTACATTAGTCTAATAGAGACACAAGCTCTACCTGTGTCTGAGCTGAAACTTCTTCAATATCAGTCTTTCATAATATCTATAAATATACAGTGCAAAGTTATATACACATAGGGCAGGGTAACAAGTAGATAAAGCGACATTCAGTGGACATTCTGAATTTGCAGTTTTACATAGTTACAGATGAATGACATGTACAGGCTCTGCAGTTCTCATCGTACAGTCTGACAGCAGCAGGAAGCCTCTCCTTCACACAGCGAGGATAATAACCTCATTCTGGTATTCATGTTTGCTGTTGTGCCTAAACACATGCATTCTCCCAATCAGTTACACATTATATATATATATATATATATATATATATATATATATATATATATATATATTATATAAAACCAGAGTATATATATGGACATCACATGACAGAAGAAGCAGTAATGGAGCTAACCCCGCGTGACTGTCATGGGCAGAACCTGTGCCTCGGGACATGCAAACTACACAGGCTAGCACTGGGGTTAGCATTGGAGCTAGCACTGGAGTTAGCATTGGAGCTAGCACTGGGGTTAGCATTGGAGCTAGCACTGGGGTTAGCATTGGAGCTAGCACTGGAGTTAGCATTGGAGCTAGCACTGGAGTTAGCATTGGAGCTAGCACTGGAGTTAGCATTGGAGCTAGCACTGGAGTTAGCATTGGAGCTAGCACTGGGGTTAGCATTGGAGCTAGCACTGGGGTTAGCATTGGAGCTAGCACTGGGGTTAGCATTGGAGCTAGCACTGGGGTTAGCATTGGAGCTAGCACTGGGGTTAGCATTGGAGCTAGCACTGGAGTTAGCATTGGAGCTAGCACTGGGGTTAGCATTGGAGCTAGCACTGGAGTTAGCATTGGAGCTAGCACTGGAGTTAGCATTGGAGCTAGCACTGGAGTTAGCATTGGAGCTAGCACTGGGGTTAGCATTGGAGCTAGCACTGGGGTTAGCATTGGAGCTAGCACTGGGGTTAGCATTGGAGCTAGCACTGGGGTTAGCATTGGAGCTAGCACTGGGGTTAGCATTGGAGCTAGCACTGGGGTTAGCATTGGAGCTAGCACTGGGGTTAGCATTGGAGCTAGCACTGGGGTTAGCATTGGAGCTAGCACTGGGGTTAGCATTGGAGCTAGCACTGGAGTTAGCATTGGAGCTAGCACTGGAGTTAGCATTGGAGCTAGCACTGGAGTTAGCATTGGAGCTAGCACTGGGGTTAGCATTGGAGCTAGCACTGGAGTTAGCATTGGAGCTAGCACTGGAGTTAGCATTGGAGCTAGCACTGGAGTTAGCATTGGAGCTAGCACTGGGGTTAGCATTGGAGCTAGCACTGGGGTTAGCATTGGAGCTAGCACTGGAGTTAGCATTGGAGCTAGCACTGGGGTTAGCATTGGAGCTAGCACTGGGGTTAGCATTGGAGCTAGCACTGGAGTTAGCATTGGAGCTAGCACTGGAGTTAGCATTGGAGCTAGCACTGGAGTTAGCATTGGAGCTAGCACTGGAGTTAGCATTGGAGCTAGCACTGGGGTTAGCATTGGAGCTAGCACTGGGGTTAGCATTGGAGCTAGCACTGGAGTTAGCATTGGAGCTAGCACTGGGGTTAGCATTGGAGCTAGCACTGGAGTTAGCATTGGAGCTAGCACTGGGGTTAGCATTGGAGCTAGCACTGGGGTTAGCATTGGAGCTAGCACTGGGGTTAGCATTGGAGCTAGCACTGGGGTTAGCATTGGAGCTAGCACGGGGGTTAGCATTGGAGCTAGCACTGGAGTTAGCATTGGAGCTAGCACTGGGGTTAGCATTGGAGCTAGCACTGGGGTTAGCATTGGAGCTAGCACTGGGGTTAGCATTGGAGCTAGCACTGGGGTTAGCATTGGAGCTAGCACTGGGGTTAGCATTGGAGCTAGCACTGGAGTTAGCATTGGAGCTAGCACTGGGGTTAGCATTGGAGCTAGCACTGGGGTTAGCATTGGAGCTAGCACTGGAGTTAGCATTGGAGCTAGCACTGGAGTTAGCATTGGAGCTAGCACTGGAGTTAGCATTGGAGCTAGCACTGGAGTTAGCATTGGAGCTAGCACTGGGGTTAGCATTGGAGCTAGCACTGGGGTTAGCATTGGAGCTAGCACTGGGGTTAGCATTGGAGCTAGCACTGGGGTTAGCATTGGAGCTAGCACTGGGGTTAGCATTGGAGCTAGCACTGGAGTTAGCATTGGAGCTAGCACTGGGGTTAGCATTGGAGCTAGCACTGGAGTTAGCATTGGAGCTAGCACTGGAGTTAGCATTGGAGCTAGCACTGGAGTTAGCATTGGAGCTAGCACTGGGGTTAGCATTGGAGCTAGCACTGGGGTTAGCATTGGAGCTAGCACTGGGGTTAGCATTGGAGCTAGCACTGGGGTTAGCATTGGAGCTAGCACTGGGGTTAGCATTGGAGCTAGCACTGGAGTTAGCATTGGAGCTAGCACTGGGGTTAGCATTGGAGCTAGCACTGGGGTTAGCATTGGAGCTAGCACTGGGGTTAGCATTGGAGCTAGCACTGGGGTTAGCATTGGAGCTAGCACTGGGTTAGCATTGGAGCTGAGTTGCTTGAGCTAGCTGGGGTTAGCATTGGAGCTAGCACTGGGGTTAGCATTGGAGCTAGCACTGGAGTTAGCATTGGAGCTAGCACTGGGGTTAGCATTGGAGCTAGCACTGGGGTTAGCATTGGAGCTAGCACTGGGGTTAGCATTGGAGCTAGCACTGGGGTTAGCATTGGAGCTAGCACTGGGGTTAGCATTGGAGCTAGCACTGGGGTTAGCATTGGAGCTAGCACTGGAGTTAGCATTGGAGCTAGCACTGGAGTTAGCATTGGAGCTAGCACTGGAGTTAGCATTGGAGCTAGCACTGGGGTTAGCATTGGAGCTAGCACTGGGGTTAGCATTGGAGCTAGCACTGGGGTTAGCATTGGAGCTAGCACTGGGGTTAGCATTGGAGCTAGCACTGGAGCTAGCACTGGGGTTAGCATTGGAGCTAGCACTGGAGTTAGCATTGGAGCTAGCACTGGGGTTAGCATTGGAGCTAGCACTGGGGTTAGCATTGGAGCTAGCACTGGGGTTAGCACCGGAGCTAAAGCAAGGGGTCGATGTTTGTGGTGATTTATTACACCAGACCAGTGAAAACCCACCCCACAAACAATTACTAGCATGTATATGATTAGACTACACGCAGCCCAAACGCCAGATAACATATAGTAGGAAGCAGGAAGTTAATATCAAGGTTTGAAATGAGCTAATTGTGGTAGCAGCAGGTCGCTTACCCCACTGTAGCATGCAGAGCTAACAGGCTAACGTCTGAATATCCACTCTGACAACAGCCACTACAACACTGACAGCACACCGAGACATATGCGCAAGTAAAGGGGTTCAAGGTGAGTGTGTTACCTGCATCCGATGGAACTCCTCCTCGGATAAAGCCTGCGAAAGAGCCATGTTTGTGCGCAGAGCTAGCTCGCAGGCTAAAGCTAGCAGCGGAGGCAAGAGAGCGCAGAGAGCGGCGGAGGAGCAGGACGTCTCACTCTGAGCGAGAAGCGAGGAGCAGAGGGAGGAAGACTGATTACACATTAAAGAAACGGTGTAAGATTTCTGTTTAAGGGTGTCACAAACAAACAGCTTCACTCTGATTGTAGAAAATAGATTGTACACAATTTGCAGCAACTAATTTGATTATTTTTGTTCGTTTTGTTAAGTAAGTAAGTTTTTATTTATATACCGCCTTTTCACTGCAGATCTGAGTCTCAAAGCGGTTTACAATTGTTAATTTTTGGGCATTTGTCTCTCACTCCACACAGAGATGGGAGCGGGGCCGGTACAGGAGGCGCATGCCAGAGCTATTGGACATATTTTTAGTGGTAGGGGAAACCTACGCAGACACAGGGATAACATGCAAACTCCACTCAGAAAGGCCCTGGTCCGACCGGGATTCGAACCCAGGACCTTCTTGCTGAGAGGCGAGAGTGCTATCCACTCAGCCACCGTGCCGCCATTAATGGTAATGCGACAAAATACCACAATAATCTAGCAAATACAGCTGTTATACATTGCATGAATAGTTGAGCTTGAGTAGGATGAAGAAAAACAAATCTTATAAACTCCTACCTCATTCTTATTTAAAGACATGTACAAATTAGACGCCTAACTCGCAGCCAAAATACAATGATAATATATATATACAGGTGCATCTGTAGCATATTCAATGTTTGTGTCTTGTTAAATGCTAATGAATGGGAAATGTTTTTTTCAATGTGAGGTGAAAGAAAAAATGAATGAACATGTAACCCATTAAATATAATACAAATATTTTTATTCATGATGTAAAAATTATCACATATCAAATATAATATATTTTTATTATGTATTATTATTAAAACTAAATGGTCCCAAATTGGGTCTGGCGCCGGCTTGGGAGTTGGGTTTGGTTTTTTTTTTCTTTGGACTTGTGAGCGAATGAAATGAAGAATTCTAATCTGCGCAGCGCTGTATTTGAGAATTTGAGATGTCATGACTGTAAATATGTATATACAATAATTCTGAAAATCAATAATAATTATAGTTATTATTCAAGCTGCAAACGCACACCCACATATACACGTACAGGCAGGCACCTACAGAGGTATTTAAGGCATGTGTTTTTCAAGCTGTGGTACATACAATCATTTGGGGTTCTTCTGGCACCCACCTTACACACACACACACACACACACATCTACAGTATATACGTACACATACGCAAAAGATAGCAAGATAAGCAAACATTCAATCATTTCCAAAATCAAAAAAAATGGCACTAAATAGACTAGAAGTGAAAATAATTCTCATAAAAGTGAAAATATTTATAATAAATAAATGATTCAAAATATTAATAATAATAAATGGATTATGGGGAAGAAAATGGATGGATGATAAATTAATAATAATAATTAAAGGGGGAATTGAATAGTAATTATAACAGTGAGTATGTGTTCAGATTTTCTCTTGGACGTGGAGTTTGTTTATGGGATTCGTGGGTGGAACCATGGATGCATTATGGGTAACTGGTCTCCTCTCCAGGTAATTGTAGTGATCCCTTGAATCCCTATCGGCATAATCAGGCTTTTCCATCTTTCTCTACCATAACACATTAATTTTCTCCTTCCATTGTTTTCATTTTTACTCATTCCAAACTCATTCCAATGCTTTGTTAGTGGATAAAGTTTGCAGGTTAAAACTCTCTCCTGTTTCCCTTTGCTTTTCTGTCGGTGGACACTACTTCCTGATGAGTGAATTATTAACAGAACTGAAGCTGCGTCTCACGGGCTTCCACAGACCACAGAGATTTCACTTCTAACTCCTGAAGCTGCTGCAGGTACGTATTCACTACATTAAGTAAGTTATCTGATGGTAAACCTGACTGTATCTGCGGCATCTTGGGCATTCACACACACTGTAATTACTCAAACTGCATTGTGGGCTATTGTGGGCAACACTATTGAGACTGTGTGGAGTTAGTTTAAAGAATACATGCAGATATATAGTCACCAATGTTCTTATTTAGCATTAATTCTGACCACATGAGGAAGTTATAAACGTCATATCCCTTATCTACATGTTGCTAAAGTAGAGAGATAACATCAGGTTACGTATAGAGCAGAACAATGCAATGCTGGTACAGAAGTATTGACCTTCTAGGCGCCAGATACGGTACGGTTTAAACTTTTTATGACTATTTCCCTGTGGGTTCTGTTTGTGTGTTCAGGTCCAAGTGATTTGCAAAAAAAAAAAAATGAAAAAAATTCTAGAATCCATGGTTGCCACCGCCGTGTGACATCACGATATGCAAATTAGATGGGTCAAATTAATCCCTGCAGAAACTTTGGCCCATGCTTAATATTTAACTAATTTACATAAAAGCCTCAATTTTTTAGACATTTTATCTATAGCCTTTTGAAATTCAGATGTCAAAAGCTCCGGCGCCTAATTACTGCAGGGTCAACTACTGCTATATATGGTGTACCTGAGAGTCTAGGTTTGATTGTACCTGTGCTACGTTTTTCCAAGTGCTGTTGAATTACTGTACATGCAATTAAAGCCAGGTCTAATGGTGGGTAGTGGGAAAAAGCTATTTTATTTGAATTAAAAAGAATGAATTTAAAGGACCAAGATTCAGCGAAGAAATGTCAGTGTTGCAACGCAAAACAAAACAATAGGAGTTCATATTGAACTTTTTATATATTTAAAGTTATGGAGGAGGGTTTTTCCAAATTTGATAATAATAATGCATCGGTTTTATAAAGCGCTTTTCTGGACACTCAAAGAAGCTTCACATCATTCTTCTCTCTCTCCAAACACGGTGGTGATAAACTTCTACTGTAGCCACAGCTGCCCTGGGGCACACTGACAGAAGAGAGGCAACCAGTCTGTGCCATCAGCCCCTCCCACCACCACCAACCATTCACACACACACCAGACTCAGTCTACTGTGGGGGAAGTGTCTTGCCTAAGGATCAGAGAGAGACTAGAGAGAGACCAGAGAGAGACCAGAGAGAGACCAGAGAGAGACCAGAGAGAGACCAGAGAGACTAGAGAGAGACCAGAGAGATACCAGAGAGAGGCCAGAGAGAGACTAGAGAGAGACCAGAGAGAGACCAGAGAGAGGCCAGAGAGAGACCAGAGAGAGGCCAGAGAGAGGCCAGAGAGACTAGAGAGAGGCCAGAGAGAGGCCAGAGAGACTAGAGAGAGACCAGAGAGAGGCCAGAGAGAGACTAGAGAGAGACCAGAAAGAGGCCAGAGAGAGGCCAGAGAGAGACCAGAGAGAGACCAGAGAGAGGCCAGAGAGAGACTAGAGAGAGACCAGAAAGAGGCCAGAGAGAGACCAGAGAGAGGCCAGAGAGAGACTAGAGAGAGACCAGAAAGAGACCAGAGAGAGGCCAGAGAGAGACTAGAGAGAGAACAGAAAGAGGCCAGAGAGAGACTAGAGAGAGACCAGAGAGAGGCCAGAGAGAGACTAGAGAGAGACCAGAGAGAGACCAGAGAGAGACCAGAGAGAGGCCAGAGAGAGACCAGAGAGAGGCCAGAGAGAGACCAGAGAGAGACCAGAGAGAGACTAGAGAGAGACCAGAGAGAGACCAGAGAGAGACCAGAGAGAGACCAGAGAGAGACCAGAGAGAGACTAGAGAGAGACCAGAGAGAGACCAGAGAGAGGCCAGAGAGACTGCCGACCCACAGACTGTAGACCCATAGACACTCACACACCAGACTCATTCTAATGTGGGGGAAGTGTCTTGCCTAAGGACACAACCACAGTTTGGCACTTTACAGCCACAGCCGCCCCACTGTGGCACCTACTGTTCCCAGAGGTTAAGTGTCTTTGCCCAAGGACACAACAACAGCAGACAGTGGGAGTCAATGGTGAAAGTCTTGAGGTGGGCTCGAACCCACAACCTTCTGGCCCAAAGGCAAATTCTCTACCAAATGTTTATGAAAGAACCGCCCTCTCCACTTTTTGAACACAACTCTGTGCTCTTATTGGACGAGCACGTATCACCAGAATGATTGACAGCTGGGAGGACCAATAGTCTTGATGATCCACCCGGAAGTAGAAAATCCTCCTTTATGAAATATTTTGCTGGAGTATAAAACAAGTACCCCGTAAACCCAAGTAGTGTTCTATCGCAAACGGCAAGTAAATATTTTTAGCAGCGTGAGGATGTAGACAGAGTAAATACACTGCAAAAAGTGATGAAGAATACGTGAAAAAATGCTGAGATTTGGCAAAATGTGTCTTAATTTGAGCACTTTCTGACTGAGCCTTAAACAAGATGATTTAATGAGACAAAGAAAAATGATATGGTTTTAAAAAGATACAGAAATGTCTCACTTGGAATGAGAAAATAAGAGAAAAATAAGGACATTCTAGGTTTGTCCCATTGGAGAATCTGGTTTTAACACAGTCAGAATGTGGTCAAATAAGGATAAAAACACTTAATTCAAGCATTTATTTCCTCATATTTTATCATTTTTTGCAGTGCAGCAGATCCAAAGAGTTGTGAGAGAGTGGTCTTCCATCATCCCGTAGTTTTTGCAAAGAAGAAGATCAACTTTAGTGATCTCACAAAGGAGAAAGTCAGTTTGTTAAAAAGAGCAGTTTATTATGACGGATTAGGGCCCTTTAATAATGACAGATTAGGGCCCTTTAATAATGACAGATTAGGGCCCTTTAATGATGACAGATTAGGGCCCTTTAATGATGACAGATTAGGGCCCTTTAATGAAGACAGATTAGCCCCTTTAATGATGACAGATTAGGGCCCTTTAATGATGACAGATTAGGGCCCTTTAATGAAGACAGATTAGCCCCTTTAATGATGACAGATTAGGGCTCTTTAATGATGACAGATTAGGGCCCTTTAATGAAGACAGATTAGCCCCTTTAATGATGACAGATTAGCCCCTTTAATGATGGCAGATTAGGGCCCTTTAATAATGACAGGTTAGGGCCCTTTAATGATGACAGGTTAGGGCCCTTTAATGATGACAGATTAGGGCCCTTTAATGATGACAGATTAGGGCCCTTTAATGATGACAGGTTAGGGCCCTTTAATGATGACAGATTAGGGCCCTTTAATGATGACAGATTAGGGCCCTTTAATGATGACAGGTTAGGGCCCTTTAATGATGACAGATTAGGGCCCTTTAATGATGACAGGCTAGGGCCCTTTAATGATGACAGGTTAGGGCCCTTTAATGATGACAGATTAGGGCCCTTTAATGATGACAGATTAGGGCCCTTTAATGATGACAGATTAGGGCCCTTTAATGAAGACAGATTAGCCCCTTTAATGATGACAGATTAGCCCCTTTAATGATGGCAGATTAGGGCCCTTTAATAATACAATACAATACAATACAATTTATTCTTGTATAGCCCTAGGTCACAACAGAAGTCATCTCAGAGACTTAACAAAACCATTGAAATCACCAACACAGGTCAGAGAATCAACAGTTAAAACACATGAAGAATACAGTATAAAGCACACACAGAAGTGTCCATACATGTTGTAGAATGCTAAAGTGTCCTGATCATCACCAATCCTTTCTGTTGGACACTAACTGTCCAACAAGACCCTCCTGCATCGACAAGGAAAAACTCTTAAAAAACCCAGTGGGAAAAAGTGAGAAACCTTGGGGAGAAGGTTTCTCACTTTTTAATGACAGGTAATGACAGGTTAGGGCCCTTTAATGATGACAGGTTAGGGCCCTTTAATGATGACAGGTTAGGGCCCTTTAATGATGACAGATTGGGGCCCTTTAACGATGACAGGTTAGGGCCCTTTAATGATGACAGATTAGGGCCCTTTAATGATGACAGGTTAGGGCCCTTTAATGATGACAGATTAGGGCCCTTTAATGATGACAGGCTAGGGCCCTTTAATGATGACAGGTTAGGGCCCTTTAATGATGACAGATTAGGGCCCTTTAATGATGACAGATTAGGGCCCTTTAATGATGACAGATTAGGGCCCTTTAATGATGACAGGTTAGGGCCCTTTAATGATGACAGATTAGGGCCCTTTAATGATGACAGGCTAGGGCCCTTTAATGATGACAGGTTAGGGCCCTTTAATGATGACAGATTAGGGCCCTTTAATAATGACAGATTAGGGCCCTTTAATGATGACAGATTAGGGCCCTTTAATGATGACAGATTGGGGCCCTTTAATGATGACAGGTTAGGGCCCTTTAATGATGACAGATTAGGGCCCTTTAATGATGACAGGTTAGGGCCCTTTAATGATGACAGGTTAGGGCCCTTTAATTATGACAGATTAGGGCCCTTTAATGATCACAGGTTAGGGCCCTTTAATTATGACAGATTAGGGCCCTTTAATGATGACAGGTTAGGGCCCTTTAATGATGACAGATTAGGGCCCTTTAATGATGACAGGCTAGGGCCCTTTAATGATGACAGGCTAGGGCCCTTTAATGATGACAGGTTAGGGCCCTTTAATGATGACAGATTAGGGCCCTTTAATGATGACAGATTGTTATGTTTTAAATAAAGTTAAAGCAGTTTGAATGTTTTGAAAGGTGGACGTTTGGACCATGTTGGACCAGGAAACGCTGTCGTCTCTGCTGCACTCTTTGGACCATGTGGACCCGAAGACCATCGAGCAGGAGTTTAGTGTGAGTTCAAGTCCCTTTTTGATTCAAATCAGTTTATTTATTTATCGCTCTGAATCACGACAGTTTTTTTTTGTTTTTTTTACTCTGAGGACTTTACAAAACCCTGTGATGTCAAAGTGAAAGTATCGATTACCTTTGAGCAGATGTGAAAATATAGAAGCAGGAAACTGGTGCGATGGTGTTTACTGGTACGGAGAGCAGTTCATAGTCTGCTGCTGCATTGACCATGAAAGGAAAGATCACAGAACTGTTTTTAACCTGGATTCAAACATCGTCAGAGAAGAAGAGGTCGGTCTCACGTTTTCAGGAAGACTGTTCCAGGTTTTAGTGGCGTGGATCTGAAGTGGAGCCTCCCCATGTTTAGTCCTGACTCTGGGACCAGCAGGAGGCCAGTCCCTGTGCTCCTCAGAGTCCCAGCAGGAGGCCAGTCCCTGTGCTCCTCAGAGTCCCAGCAGGAGGCCAGTCCCTGTGCTCCTCAGAGTCCCAGCAGGAGGCCAGTCCCTGTGCTCCTCAGAGTCCCAGAAGGAGGCCAGTCCCTGTGCTCCTCAGAGTCCCAGCAGGAGGCCAGTCCCTGTGCTCCTCAGAGTCCCAGCAGGAGGCCAGTCCCTGTGCTCCTCAGAGTCCCAGAAGGAGGCCAGTCCCTGTGCTCCTCAGAGTCCCAGCAGGAGGCCAGTCCCTGTGCTCCTCAGAGTCCCAGCAGGAGGCCAGTCCCTGTGCTCCTCAGAGTCCCAGAAGGAGGCCAGTCCCTGTGCTCCTCAGAGTCCCAGCAGGAGGCCAGTCCCTGTGCTCCTCAGAGTCCCAGCAGGAGGCCAGTCCCTGTGCTCCTCAGAGTCCCAGCAGGAGGCCAGTCCCTGTGCTCCTCAGAGTCCCAGCAGGAGGCCCAGAGTCCCAGCAGGAGGCCAGTCCCTGTGCTCCTCAGAGTCCCAGCAGGAGGCCAGTCCCTGTGCTCCTCAGAGTCCCAGAAGGAGGCCAGTCCCTGTGCTCCTCAGAGTCCCAGCAGGAGGCCAGTCCCTGTGCTCCTCAGAGTCCCAGCAGGAGGCCAGTCCCTGTGCTCCTCAGAGTCCCAGCAGGAGGCCAGTCCCTGTGCTCCTCAGAGTCCCAGCAGGAGGCCAGTCCCTGTGCTCCTCAGAGTCCCAGTAGGAGGCCAGTCCCTGTGCTCCTGAGTCCCAGTAGGAGGCCAGTCCCTGTGCTCCTCAGAGTCCCAGTAGGAGGCCAGTCCCTGTGCTCCTCAGAGTCCCAGCAGGAGGCCAGTCCTTGTGCTCCTCACATACATATCATACTTACACACACACACACACACACACTTACTTAAACACACACACACAGACACACACTTACTTAAATACACACACACACACACACACTTACTTAAATACACACACACACACACACACTTACTTAAATACACACACACACTTACTTAAATACACACACACACACACACACTTATTGTTATTATTATTTATTATTATTTGTTATTATTGTTTATTCATCGAACTGAATTTCTCCATCTGTGTGAGATAATACAGGATTGATTGATTAAACACACACACACACCCACACACAAACACACTTACTTACACACAGACACACACACACACATACGCACACACACACACACACATACGCACACACACACACACACATACGCACGCACACACACACACACACATACGCACACACACACACACACACGCACACACACACACACACATACGCACACACACACACACATACGCACGCACACACACACACACACTTTGATGATACTTCCAGTGCATGTACTTTATTCAAATATGAATCTGATAAAACCATAAATGAGGAAGTGTTTCAGACGGACTGGTTTTTCTGCTCTACATCCAACATATATTTAATACTATTATGAAGAAGAGCAGTTATTCATGCCACAGCGGGGACATTTCAGTGTTGCATCACCAGGTCCAGTCTATGTTTTTTTTGTTCCAGGCCCTCCGTGCTCAGTCCGTGGCATGGAAGAAGTCCCAGTGCTCAGAGATCGGGACTTTGAAAGAAAACATCAAAAAGAACCGATACAAAGACATCCTGCCCTGTGAGACCTTTATTATCTTTTTTAAAATTATTTTTACATTTATTCTATTTATTATCTGTGTTGTGTTTCTTTAGATGACGAGTCCAGAGTGATCTTGTCTCTGAAAACCTCAGACTCTGATGGGGATTACATAAACGCCAGCTTCATTCAGGTACTTTCACATCCATGCGGCGCCTCCAGCTGTAATAGCACTGTGTGTCCTGCAGGGGCCGCTGCGGGGAGGCTACATGGACCAGAGAGAGACAGGAGAGGGACCAGAGAGAGACCAAAGAGAGAACAGAGAGAGACCAGAGAGAGAGGGATCAGAGAGAGACAAGGGAGAGACCAGAGAGAGACCAGAGAGAGACCAGAGAGAGAGACCAGAGAGAGACCAGAGAGAGGCAGGAGAGGGACCAGAGAGAGACCAGAGAGAGAACAGAGAGAGACCAGAGAGAGAGACCAGAGAGAGGGACCAGAGAGAGGGACCAGAGAGAGAGCAGAGAGAGAGGGATCAGAGAGAGACAAGGGAGAGACCAGAGAGAGACCAGAGAGAGACCAGAGAGAGAAACCAGAGAGAGACCAGAGAGAGGCAGGAGAGGGACCAGAGAGAGACCAGAGAGAGACCAGAGAGAGAAACCAGAGAGAGAGACCAGAGAGAGACCAGAGAGAGGCAGGAGAGAGACCAGAGAGAAAGAGACCAGAGAGAGACCAGAGAGAGACCAGAGAGAGACCAGAGAGAGACCAGAGAGAGACCAGAGAGAGACCAGAGAGAGACCAGAAAGAGACCAGAGAGAGACCAGAGAGAGACCAGAGAGAGACCAGAGAGAGACCAGAGAGAGACCAGAGAGAGACCAGAGAGAGACCAGAGAGAGACTTGGTATATAAACGGCAGCTTCATTCAGGTACTGTACCTTCAGATCCAGCTGTAATAGCGCTGTGTGTCCTGCAGGGGGCGCTCTCGGGAGGCTACATAGCGGCGCAGGCTCCTCTGGACTCCACCCTTGGGGACTTCTGGAGGATGTTGTGGGAATATGAGGTTAAGGTAAAAATAAAAACATGTGTTGGTCATAAAGTCACAGTCACTACATGTTATTCTTTGTTACAGGTGATTGTTATGGCCTGCAAGGAGTTTGAACAGGGAAAGGTAAGTCTCTCTCTGGTCTCCCTCTGGTCTCTCTCTGGTCTCTCTCTGGTCTCTCTCTGGTCTATCTCTGGTCTCTCTCTGGTCTCTCTCTGCTCTCTCTCTGGTCTCTCTCTGGTCTCTCTCTGGTCTCTCTCTGGTCTCTCTCTGGTCTCCATCTGGTCTCTCTCTGGTCTCTCTCTGGTCTCTCTCTGGTCTCTCTCTGGTCTATCTCTGGTCTTTCTGGTCTCTCTCTGGTCTCTCTCTGCTCTCTCTCTGGTCTCCATCTGGTCTCTCTCTGGTCTCTCTCTGGTCTATCTCTGGTCTCTCTCTGGTCTCTCTCTGGTCTCTCTCTGGTCTCTCTCTGATCTCTCTCTGGTCTCTCTCTGGTCTCTCACTGGTCTCTCACTGGTCTCTCTGGCCTCCCTCTCTAGTCTCTCTCTGGTCTCTCTCTGGTCTCTCTCTGGTCTCTCTCTGGTCTCTCTCTGGTCTCTTTCTGGCCTCTCTCTGGCCTCCCTCTCTAGTCTCTCTCTGGTCTCTCTCTGGTCTCTCTGGTCTCTCTCTGGTCTCTCTCTGGTCTCTCTCTGGTCTCTTTCTGGCCTCTCTCTGGCCTCTCTCTGGTCTCCCTCTGGTCTCTCTTTGGTCTCTCGCTCTCTGGTCTCTCTCTGGTCTCTCTCTGATCTCTCTCTGGTCTCTCTCTGGTCTCCCTCTGGTCTCTCACTGGTCTCTCTGCTCTCTCTCTGGTCTCTCTCTGGCCTCTCTCTGGTGTCTCTCTGATCTCTCTCTGGTCTCTCTCTGGTCTCTCTCCTGGTCTCTCTCTGGCCTCCCTCTCTAGTCTCTCTCTGGTCTCTCTCTGGTCTCTCTGGTCTCTCTCTGGTCTCTCTCTGGTCTCTCTCTGGTCTCTTTCTGGCCTCTCTCTGGCCTCTCTCTGGTCTCCCTCTGGTCTCTCTTTGGTCTCTCGCTCTCTGGTCTCTCTCTGGTCTCTCTCTGATCTCTCTCTGGTCTCTCTCTGGTCTCCCTCTGGTCTCTCACTGGTCTCTCTGCTCTCTCTCTGGTCTCTCTCTGGCCTCTCTCTGGTGTCTCTCTGATCTCTCTCTGGTCTCTCTCTGGTCTCTCTCTGGTCTCTCTCTGGTCTCTCTCTGGCCTCTCTCTGGCCTCTCTCTGGTCTCTCTCTGGTCTCTCTCTGGCCTCTCTCTGGTGTCTCTCTGATCTCTCTCTGGTCTCTCTCTGGTCTCTCTCTGGTCTCTCTCTGGCCTCTCTCTGGCCTCTCTCTGGTCTCTCTCTGGTCTCTCTCTGGTCTCTCTCTGGTCTCTCTCTGGCCTCTCTCTGGTCTCTCTCTGGTCTCTCTCTGGTCTCTCTCTGGCCTCTCTCTGGTCTCCCTCTGGTCTCTCTTTGGTCTCTCGCTCTCTGGTCTCTCTCTGGTCTCTCTCTGATCTCTCTCTGGTCTCTCTCTGATCTCTCTCTGGTCTCTCTCTCTGGTCTCTCTGCTCTCTCTCTCTGGTCTCTCTCTGGCCTCTCTCTGGTCTCTCTCTCTGGTCTCTCTCTCTGGTCTCTCTCTCTGGTCTCTCTCTGGTCTCTCTCTGGTCTCTCTGGTCTCTCTCTGGTCTCTCTCTGGTCTCTCTCTGGTCTCTAACATCATTAATAATCCATGTTTTCTCTGATGTAGAAAAAGTGTACTGTTTACTGGTCTCCTCTGGATCAAACCACATCCTTCGGCCCCTTCTCCGTCCTCTGCGTGAGCACATTTACAAAGTCTAAAACTAGGGCTGTCAAACGATTAATTTTTTTAATCGAGTTAATTACAGCTTAAAAAATAATCAATCGTAATTAATTGCATTTCAAACTATTGGCAAAATGATGCCATATTTTTCTGTAAATGGTTGTTTGAATGGAAAGATAAATGACAGCTTAGTGAACATATGAACTGTATTTGTTTGTTATAACAATAAATCCATATAAAATGGCATTAACATTATTAACATTCTGTCTTTCTGTTTAGACTCAGACCAAAACCATTGTTTGTTACAGATGAGGGACATTTCAAAATAGTCTGAAGCAGAATGTCATTAAATCTGTTTGATTTGCTCACACCATTACTTTTTTTGGCACAACTAACATGAACTGGTAGTCGAAAGGAAAATTATGTACCTCAGCTTTAATTTAGCGAGTGTGCTTCGGGAGAAGACACGGAGGAGACTGAGGCTCCGCAGTCCAGCTTCAGCGCTGTACATATTGTGTGCATCGGTTACGCAAAGACACGTACGCACACTAGAGAATAGTTCTGTAATAGTTCTGTGCGTGGTCTTGGATATGATCCCATTGTGGTGTCACTACTTACTTATAACACACAAGTCTCCCTTATTGTGAAAGGCTGGTTTATCGTTGGGCGGAAGTGTGATGTGGTTTCCCGCTGTTTTGACTGTTAACAAATAAAGTTTGGAGAGACTCCATACTCTCGTCCTTTCCATCCTCCACATTGGTGACCCCGACGTTTGAATTATGTCAACCGACGCATCTTCGTCTGCTTCCGCGGCTGCTGCACCGGCTGTTTTTGCGGCTACTATTAGACTCCCGGATTTTTGGCAGAATGACCCGGAGCCCTGGTTCCAGCATGTGGACGCTCAATTCCACCTGCGCGGCATCACCACAGACGACACGAAATATTTCCACGTCGTTGCGGCTTTGGATTCGGCCACGACCCGCAGATTAATGGGGCTGCTCCGGGACCCGCCTGCTGCCAACAAGTACGAAGCGCTTAAGAGGGCGTTATTACAACTTTACCAGCTCTCGGATATGGAGCGGGCCGATCGCCTATTGTCACTGACTGGTTTAGGCGATAGCAAACCAACGGAGCTGATGGAGAATATGTTGGCCTTGCTTGGCTCCGGTGATGTTTCGTTTCTTTTCACCCACCTGTTTCTGCGCCAGCTACCGCCTCAAGTACGCACAGCCCTGGCCAACTCTCCCCTCATCCGCACTAAAGATTACAGGGGTTTGGCTGAAGAAGCGGACAGACTTTTGCTGGCCTCTCGTCAGGTTTCAGTGCACGCTCTGTTACCATGCGTGCCAGAGAGCGAGGAGACGGTGGATGTCGCCGCCGTTGCGGAGCGGCGGAAGAAGGAGAACGGCCTGTGTTTCTACCATCACCGCTTCGGAGTGAAGGCTCGCCGCTGCATCCCACCGTGTTCCTTTCAGCGGCCGGGAAACGAGAAGGCCGGCGCTCGCTAGCAGCTGCCTGCACCGGCAAGGACAATAAGCTGCTTTTCATTGAGGACAGCGCTTCAGGACGTCGTTTTCTCGTGGATTCGGGGGCACAGCGGAGCATCGTGCCCCCCTCCTCCGCTGACACTTTGGGTCAAAGTCAAGGGCCCCCACTGGACGCGGCTAACGGCACCTCCATCCGCACGTTCGGCACCAGGTTTCTGACTGTGTGTTTTAACGGCCGTGTGTTTAGCTGGGACTTTGTAATAGCTTCTGTTTCAGTACCCATCTTAGGTGCAGATTTTCTGTGTGCATTCAGACTGCTAGTGGATGTAGCTAACAGATGTTTGATTAACTCTGTGTCTTTTGATACATACCCGTGTACTCTGGGTATCGCTGGGCCGCTGCTCGCTAACATGCTCGCTATAGGGGACTCGTACCAACGTCTTCTCGCTGAGTTTCCTGCCCTTACAGTTCCTACCTTTTCTGCCGCAGTAGCTAAGCACGGGGTTGAGCATTACGTCACTACAGTCGGTCCTCCTGTTTTTGCTCGCGCGCGCCGTTTAGATACTGCTAAATTGGCCATCGCTAAGGAGGAGTTTGCCAACATGGAGCGGTTAGGCATTGTGCGCCGCTCAGACAGCCCGTGGGCTTCGCCCCTGCACATGGTCCCTAAGTCTGATGGGGGCTGGCGCCCTTGTGGAGATTTCCGCCGTCTCAATAATGCTACCGCTAACGACAGGTACCCGATCCCTCACATTCAGGACTTTTCGGTGCATCTTGCAGGGGCGGTTATTTTCTCCAAGGTTGATTTGGTGAGAGGTTACCACCAGGTGCCGGTCCGTCGCCAGGACGTCCCCAAGACGGCGGTCATCACTCCCTTTGGACTGTTTGAGTTTTTGAGGATGCCTTTTGGCCTGAAGGGCGCGGCACAGACGTTTCAGCGTCTTATGGACTCTGTGTTGCGAGATATGCCTTTCCTCTTCGTGTATCTAGACGACGTGCTGGTGGCGAGTGCTTCGGTGGAGGAGCATATGTCACATCTTCGCCAGCTTTTTGAGCGCCTCAGTCAGCACGGACTTATCGTCAACCCTGCTAAGTGTCGTTTTGGACTGTTGGAGATCGAGTTCCTGGGACACCGTGTGTCACGGCAGGGTGCGGTGCCTCTTCCTGCTAAAGTCGAGGCGGTTTTGGCTTTTCCTCGCCCCTCCTCTGTGAAGCCCCTACAGGAGTTTTTGGGCATGGTTAATTTTTACAACCGTTTCATCCCTCGGGCAGCCCACATTATGCACTCGTTGTACGATGCCTTAAAGGGTAAAAAGGGTAACCAGGACATTGAGTGGACCCAGGAGAGGTCACTGGCGTTTGAAGAAGCTAAAACAGCGCTTGCCGAGGCCGCCCTTTTGGCCCATCCCAAACCTTCTGCGTCCATCGCCCTTACCACTGACGCGTCCGATTATGCCGTCGGTGCGGTTTGCGAACAGTGGTCGGATGGACACTGGCAGCCACTGGCGTTTTTCAGTAGAAAGTTGCGCGACTCAGAAAGAAAGTACAGTACATTTGACAGGGAGCTCTTGGCCCTTTTCCTTGCCACACGCCATTTCCGGTTCCTCTTAGAGGGCCGGGAGTTCACCGCTTTTGTCGACCACAAGCCGCTAACGTTTGCTATGGCTAAAACTTCTGAACCATGGTCATCTCGACAGCAACGGCATCTTTCTGCCATTTCCGAGCTCACGACTGACATTCAACACGTGGCTGGTAAGAACAACCTGGTTGCGGACTGCCTCTCTCGTGCACCGGTCGATACTGTGCATCTGGGGATCGACTACGCGGAGATGGCTGCGGACCAGCTGACGGATTTGGGAGTGCAGGGGCTGCGCACTGCTGACTCTAGTTTGAAGTTGGAGGATGTTGATTTTCAGAACAGCGGGGCGGCCCTCCTTTGCGACATCTCTATGGACAGGCCGCGCCCGGTGGTCCCTGCTACCTGGCGCCGTCGCATTTTTGATGCTGTGCACTCCCTGTCACACCCCGGAGTTAAAGCTTCCGTTAAGTTGGTGGGTGCCAGGTTCGTGTGGCCCGGTCTCAGGAAGGATGTTAAGACTTGGGCCTCTACGTGTGTGGCGTGCCAGCGCGCCAAGGTGCAGCGCCACGTTAAAGCTCCGTTAGGGCCTTTTCCTGTCCCTGAGAGGCGTTTTGAGCACGTTCACGTGGATCTTGTCGGTCCTTTTCCGCCGTCCCGTGGCTTTACTCACCTGCTGACCATGGTGGACAGGACCACACGGTGGCCCGAAGCAGTTCCTCTGTCGTCTACTACTGCGCCTGAGGTGGCCCGAGCGTTCCTCTATTCGTGGGTGTCTCGGTTCGGTGTGCCTTTGGACATGACATCTGATCGGGGCCCGCAATTTACCTCGGAGCTGTGGAACGCGGTTGCCGGAAGCTTGGGGGTTAAACTTCATCGGACCACTGCTTACCACCCTCAAGCCAATGGACTGTGCGAGCGGTTTCATCGCACCATGAAAGCCGCCCTCCGTGCATCTCTAGTGGACAGTAGTTGGGTGGACAGACTGCCGTGGGTTTTGTTGGGTCTGCGTTCCGCCCCTAAGGAGGACCTGCGCTCCTCCTCGGCTCAGTTGGTTCTGGGACAGTCTTTGAGGGTGCCGGGGGAGTTCCTGCATAGTGGTTTGGGTCCTGGTGTGGTCAGGAATTTTGGGGTCCAGGGAGAGGCTAGGTTTTTCTCTCCTGTTGCTGCGCACCATTGTCTTCCTCGGTCCTTCATCCCCAAGGACCTTATGTCGGCCAAGTACGTTTTTATTCGACACGATGCGCACCGCTCTCCTCTGCAGGCCCCTTATGACGGTCCCTTTCGCGTGTTGGAGGCGGGGCACAAGTCCTTTCTTATTGAGATGGGGACTGGACAGGACAGGGTTTCAGTGGACCGTTTGAAGCCCGCTCATGTGCTTCAGGAGGACGGGGTAGAGCTGGCTCGTCCTGCTCGCCGCGGCCGCCCGCCCAATCCGGCCCCAGACATTGACCCTTTGCCTCTGGCGAGCCCACCGCAGGTGGTGGTTAAATGTAGTCGGAGGGGTAGAGTGGTCAGGGTACCTACGCGGTTTCAGTAGGGTTTGTGCATGTTGTTTTTTGTGTGTTCTGGGGGGGCCTGTGTGGTGTCACTACTTACTTATAACACACAAGTCTCCCTTATTGTGAAAGGCTGGTTTATCGTTGGGCGGAAGTGGTGATGTGGTTTCCCGCTGTTTTGACTGTTAACAAATAAAGTTTGGAGAGACTCCATACTCTCGTCCTTTCCATCCTCCACACACAAAGACTGAGGCTGTAGACCCAGGACTGAGACTGTAGACCCAGGACTGAGACTGTAGACCCAGGACTGAGACTGTAGACCCAGGACTGAGACTGTAGACCCAGGACTGAGACTGTAGACCCAGGACTGAGACTGTAGACCCAGGACTGAGACTGTAGACCCAGGACTGAGACTGTAGACCCAGGACTGAGACTGTAGACCCAGGACTGAGACTGTAGACCCAGGACTGAGACTGTAGACCCAGGACTGAGGCTGTAGATCCAGGACTGAGACTGTAGACCCAGGACTGAGGCTGTAGATCCAGGACTGAGGCTGTAGATCCAGGACTGAGACTGTAGATCCAGGACTGAGGCTGTAGACCCAGGACTGAGACTGTAGACCCAGGACTGAGACTGTAGACCCAGGACTGAGACTGTAGACCCAGGACTGAGGCTGTAGATCCAGGACTGAGGCTGTAGACCCAGGACTGAGGCTGTAGACCCAGGACTGAGGCTGTAGACCCAGGACTGAGGCTGTAGACCCAGGACTGAGGCTGTAGACCCAGGACTGAGGCTGTAGATCCAGGACTGAGACTGTAGATCCAGGACTGAGACTGTAGATCCAGGACTGAGGCTGTAGACCCAGGACTGAGACTGTAGACCCAGGACTGAGACTGTAGATCCAGGACTGAGACTGTAGACCCAGGACTGAGACTGTAGACCCAGGACTGAGACTGTAGACCCAGGACTGAGACTGTAGACCCAGGACTGAGGCTGTAGATCCAGGACTGAGGCTGTAGACCCAGGACTGAGGCTGTAGACCCAGGACTGAGGCTGTAGACCCAGGACTGAGGCTGTAGATCCAGGACTGAGGCTGTAGATCCAGGACTGAGGCTGTAGACCCAGGACTGAGGCTGTAGACCCAGGACTGAGGCTGTAGATCCAGGACTGAGGCTGTAGATCCAGGACTGAGGCTGTAGACCCAGGACTGAGGCTGTAGACCCAGGACTGAGGCTGTAGATCCAGGACTGAGACTGTAGATCCAGGACTGAGACTGTAGATCCAGGACTGAGGCTGTAGACCCAGGACTGAGACTGTAGACCCAGGACTGAGACTGTAGATCCAGGACTGAGACTGTAGATCCAGGACTGAGACTGTAGACCCAAGACTGAGACTGTAGACCCAGGACTGAGGCTGTAGACCCAGGACTGAGACTGTAGACCCAGGACTGAGACTGTAGACCCAGGACTGAGGCTGTAGACCCAGGACTGAGGCTGTAGATCCAGGACTGAGGCTGTAGATCCAGGACTGAGGCTGTAGACCCAGGACTGAGGCTGTAGACCCAGGACTGAGGCTGTAGATCCAGGACTGAGACTGTAGATCCAGGACTGAGACTGTAGATCCAGGACTGAGGCTGTAGACCCAGGACTGAGACTGTAGACCCAGGACTGAGACTGTAGATCCAGGACTGAGACTGTAGATCCAGGACTGAGACTGTAGACCCAAGACTGAGACTGTAGACCCAGGACTGAGGCTGTAGACCCAGGACTGAGACTGTAGATCCAGGACGGAGGCTGTAGATCCAGGACGGAGGCTGTAGATCCAGGACTGAGACTGTAGACCCAAGACTGAGACTGTAGACCCAGGACTGAGGCTGTAGACCCAGGACTGAGACTGTAGATCCAGGACTGAGACTGTAGATCCAGGACTGAGACTGTAGACCCAGGACTGAGACTGTAGATCCAGGACTGAGACTGTAGATCCAGGACTGAGGCTGTAGACCCAGGACTGAGACTGTAGATCCAGGACGGAGGCTGTAGATCCAGGACTGAGACTGTAGACCCAGGACTGAGACTGTAGACCCAGGACTGAGGCTGTAGACCCAGGACTGAGGCTGTAGATCCAGGACTGAGACTGTAGATCCAGGACTGAGACTGTAGATCCAGGACTGAGGCTGTAGACCCAGGACTGAGGCTGTAGACCCAGGACTGAGGCTGTAGATCCAGGACTGAGACTGTAGATCCAGGACTGAGACTGTAGATCCAGGACTGAGGCTGTAGACCCAGGACTGAGACTGTAGACCCAGGACTGAGGCTGTAGACCCAGGACTGAGGCTGTAGATCCAGGACTGAGACTGTAGATCCAGGACTGAGACTGTAGATCCAGGACTGAGGCTGTAGACCCAGGACTGAGGCTGTAGACCCAGGACTGAGGCTGTAGATCCAGGACTGAGACTGTAGATCCAGGACTGAGACTGTAGATCCAGGACTGAGGCTGTAGACCCAGGACTGAGACTGTAGACCCAGGACTGAGACTGTAGATCCAGGACTGAGACTGTAGACCCAAGACTGAGACTGTAGACCCAGGACTGAGAGGCTGTAGACCCAGGACTGAGACTGTAGATCCAGGACGGAGGCTGTAGATCCAGGACGGAGGCTGTAGATCCAGGACTGAGACTGTAGACCCAAGACTGAGACTGTAGACCCAGGACTGAGGCTGTAGACCCAGGACTGAGACTGTAGATCCAGGACTGAGACTGTAGATCCAGGACTGAGACTGTAGACCCAGGACTGAGACTGTAGATCCAGGACTGAGACTGTAGATCCAGGACTGAGGCTGTAGACCCAGGACTGAGACTGTAGATCCAGGACGGAGGCTGTAGATCCAGGACTGAGACTGTAGACCCAGGACTGAGACTGTAGACCCAGGACTGAGGCTGTAGACCCAGGACTGAGGCTGTAGATCCAGGACTGAGACTGTAGATCCAGGACTGAGACTGTAGATCCAGGACTGAGGCTGTAGACCCAGGACTGAGACTGTAGACCCAGGACTGAGACTGTAGATCCAGGACTGAGACTGTAGACCCAGGACTGAGACTGTAGACCCAGGACTGAGGCTGTAGACCCAGGACTGAGACTGTAGATCCAGGACGGAGGCTGTAGATCCAGGACGGAGGCTGTAGATCCAGGACTGAGACTGTAGACCCAAGACTGAGACTGTAGACCCAGGACTGAGGCTGTAGACCCAGGACTGAGACTGTAGATCCAGGACTGAGACTGTAGATCCAGGACTGAGACTGTAGACCCAGGACTGAGACTGTAGATCCAGGACTGAGACTGTAGATCCAGGACTGAGGCTGTAGACCCAGGACTGAGACTGTAGATCCAGGACGGAGGCTGTAGATCCAGGACTGAGACTGTAGACCCAGGACTGAGACTGTAGACCCAGGACTGAGACTGTAGACCCAGGACTGAGGCTGTAGACCCAGGACTGAGGCTGTAGATCCAGGACTGAGACTGTAGATCCAGGACTGAGACTGTAGATCCAGGACTGAGGCTGTAGACCCAGGACTGAGGCTGTAGACCCAGGACTGAGGCTGTAGATCCAGGACTGAGACTGTAGATCCAGGACTGAGACTGTAGATCCAGGACTGAGGCTGTAGACCCAGGACTGAGACTGTAGACCCAGGACTGAGACTGTAGATCCAGGACTGAGACTGTAGATCCAGGACTGAGACTGTAGATCCAGGACTGAGACTGTAGACCCAAGACTGAGACTGTAGACCCAGGACTGAGGCTGTAGACCCAGGACTGAGACTGTAGATCCAGGACGGAGGCTGTAGATCCAGGACGGAGGCTGTAGATCCAGGACTGAGACTGTAGACCCAAGACTGAGACTGTAGACCCAGGACTGAGGCTGTAGACCCAGGACTGAGACTGTAGATCCAGGACTGAGACTGTAGATCCAGGACTGAGACTGTAGACCCAGGACTGGGACTGTAGATCCAGGACTGAGACTGTAGATCCAGGACTGAGGCTGTAGACCCAGGACTGAGACTGTAGATCCAGGACGGAGGCTGTAGATCCAGGACTGAGACTGTAGACCCAGGACTGAGACTGTAGACCCAGGACTGAGGCTGTAGACCCAGGACTGAGACTGTAGACCCAGGACTGAGGCTGTAGATCCAGGACTGAGACTGTAGATCCAGGACTGAGGCTGTAGACCCAGGACTGAGGCTGTAGATCCAGGACTGAGACTGTAGATCCAGGACTGAGACTGTAGACCCAGGACTGAGGCTGTAGATCCAGGACTGAGACTGTAGACCCAGGACTGAGACTGTAGACCCAGGACTGAGACTGTAGATCCAGGACTGAGACTGTAGATCCAGGACTGAGACTGTAGATCCAGGACTGAGACTGTAGATCCAGGACTGAGACTGTAGACCCAGGACTGAGACTGTAGATCCAGGACTGAGACTGTAGATCCAGGACTGAGACTGTAGATCCAGGACTGAGACTGTAGACCCAGGACTGAGACTGTAGACCCAGGACTGAGACTGTAGATCCAGGACTGAGACTGTAGATCCAGGACTGAGACTGTAGACCCAGGACTGAGACTGTAGACCCAGGACTGAGACTGTAGATCCAGGACTGAGGCTGTAGACCCAGGACTGAGACTGTAGATCCAGGACGGAGGCTGTAGATCCAGGACTGAGACTGTAGACCCAGGACTGAGACTGTAGACCCAGGACTGAGGCTGTAGACCCAGGACTGAGACTGTAGACCCAGGACTGAGGCTGTAGATCCAGGACTGAGACTGTAGATCCAGGACTGAGGCTGTAGACCCAGGACTGAGGCTGTAGATCCAGGACTGAGACTGTAGATCCAGGACTGAGACTGTAGACCCAGGACTGAGGCTGTAGATCCAGGACTGAGACTGTAGATCCAGGACTGAGACTGTAGACCCAGGACTGAGACTGTAGACCCAGGACTGAGACTGTAGATCCAGGACTGAGACTGTAGATCCAGGACTGAGACTGTAGATCCAGGACTGAGACTGTAGATCCAGGACTGAGACTGTAGACCCAGGACTGAGACTGTAGATCCAGGACTGAGACTGTAGATCCAGGACTGAGACTGTAGATCCAGGACTGAGACTGTAGACCCAGGACTGAGACTGTAGACCCAGGACTGAGACTGTAGATCCAGGACTGAGACTGTAGATCCAGGACTGAGACTGTAGACCCAGGACTGAGACTGTAGATCCAGGACTGAGACTGTAGACCCAGGACTGAGGCTGTAGATCCAGGACTGAGACTGTAGACCCAGGACTGAGACTGTAGATCCAGGACGGAGGCTGTAGATCCAGGACTGAGACTGTAGACCCAGGACTGAGACTGTAGACCCAGGACTGAGGCTGTAGACCCAGGACTGAGACTGTAGACCCAGGACTGAGGCTGTAGATCCAGGACTGAGACTGTAGATCCAGGACTGAGGCTGTAGATCCAGGACTGAGGCTGTAGACCCAGGACTGAGGCTGTAGACCCAGGACTGAGGCTGTAGATCCAGGACTGAGGCTGTAGATCCAGGACTGAGGCTGTAGATCCAGGACTGAGGCTGTAGACCCAGGACTGAGGCTGTAGACCCAGGACTGAGGCTGTAGACCCAGGACTGAGGCTGTAGATCCAGGACTGAGGCTGTAGATCCAGGACTGAGACTGTAGACCCAGGAGTGAGGCTGTAGACCCAGGACTGAGGCTGTAGATCCAGGACTGAGGCTGTAGACCCAGGACTGAGGCTGTAGACCCAGGACTGAGGCTGTAGATCCAGGACTGAGGCTGTAGACCCAGGACTGAGGCTGTAGACCCAGGACTGAGACTGCAGACCCAGGACTGTGAGGCTGCAGACCCAGGACTGAGGCTGTAGACCCAGGACTGAGGCTGCAGACCCAGGACTGTGAGGCTGCAGACCCAGGACTGTGAGGCTGCAGACCCAGGACTGAGGCTGTAGACCCAGGACTGTGAGGCTGTAGACCCAGGACTGTGAGGCTGTAGACCCAGGACTGAGGCTGTAGACCCAGGACTGTGAGGCTGTAGACCCAGGACTGAGGCTGTAGACCCAGGACTGTGAGGCTATAGACCCAGGACTGTGAGGCTGCAGACCCAGGACTGAGGCTGTAGACCCAGGACTGTGAGGCTGCAGACCCAGGACTGTGAGGCTGCAGACCCAGGACTGAGGCTGTAGACCCAGGACTGTGAGGCTGTAGACCCAGGACTGTGAGGCTGTAGACCCAGGACTGAGGCTGCAGACCCAGGCCTGAGGCTATAGACCCAGGACTGTGAGGCTGCAGACCCAGGACTGTGAGGCTGCAGACCCAGGACTGTGAGGCTGTAGACCCAGGACTGAGGCTGCAGACCCAGGACTGTGAGGCTGCAGACCCAGGACTGAGGCTGTAGACCCAGGACTGTGAGGCTGCAGACCCAGGACTGTGAGGCTGCAGACCCAGGACTGTGAGGCTGCAGACCCAGGACTGTGAGGCTGTAGACCCAGGACTGAGGCTGCAGACCCAGGACTGTGAGGCTGTAGACCCAGGACTGTGAGGCTGCAGACCCAGGACTGTGAGGCTGTAGACCCAGGACTGTGAGGCTGTAGACCCCAGGACTGTGAGGCTGCAGACCCAGGACTGTGAGGCTGTAGACCCAGGACTGTGAGGCTGCAGACCCAGGACTGTGAGGCTGCAGACCCAGGACTGAGGCTGCATACCCAGGACTGTGAGGCTGTAGACCCAGGACTGTGAGGCTGCAGACCCAGGACTGTGAGGCTGCAGACCCAGGACTGAGGCTGCAGACCCAGGACTGTGAGGCTGTAGACCCAGGACTGAGGCTGCAGACCCAGGACTGTGAGGCTGTAGACCCAGGACTGTGAGGCTGCAGACCCAGGACTGTGAGGCTGTAGACCCAGGACTGTGAGGCTGTAGACCCAGGACTGTGAGGCTGCAGACCCAGGACTGTGAGGCTGTAGACCCAGGACTGTGAGGCTGCAGACCCAGGACTGTGAGGCTGCAGACCCAGGACTGAGGCTGCATACCCAGGACTGTGAGGCTGTAGACCCAGGACTGTGAGGCTGCAGACCCAGGACTGTGAGGCTGCAGACCCAGGACTGAGGCTGCAGACCCAGGACTGTGAGGCTGTAGACCCAGGACTGTGAGGCTGTAGACCCAGGACTGAGGCTGCAGACCCAGGACTGTGAGGCTGTAGACCCAGGACTGTGAGGCTGCAGACCCAGGACTGGCTACAAAAATACCAGATAGTATCAACTTTTCATGAACTATGAAAATAAATATTATTACTTCTTACCATTCTCATCCCATTACTACTATTAATAACTATAATAACAATAATATATATATTTTTTTATCTTAAATATTGAGCTAAATCACAAACAAAACCCTTTCACTTTGAGTCTGAAACATAGGATCGAGCCAAAGCTGACACTGCAGATTGTGTTGTCATAAAATTAGCGCTCGGTGCCGACTCCAGCAGAAAAATCCAGAACCCGCCGCTGCAGCCGCTCGGTATTTATTCATTTCATTAATTGTAAATGTGAAATCGTTAAGTGACTGCTCAAAGTCCGAGCTGTATTTGTGGTGATAACAGTTGGTGTTTTGCCCTCAGCAGAGACTCATGACTGAACGTTCAGGCTCATGGTTTTGTTTTTTCTTTACCTTTTATCTGTACTTTTAGATCTGTCTGGTTTTGGGAGTTATGTTGAAACTATAGACTGTAAATATTAAGGACAGAGTCACGCATAACTCCACTGTTGAAACTAATGTGGCATCACTGTTAGCTTTTTGGGCTGTTTCAAAATGGCCGCCGAGGTTGGAAAATGTGAAAAAACTGGCTTGGGTTGGTCCCTGCTCCAAAATGTCCATAATCATGTGCACTTCACCCCGGGCCGGTGGGGGTGTACCCGGAATAAGAATTACCCAATGCCTTTGTATGGGGTCTTTTTTTCCTCTCAAAAAGGTCTTGGTCCAAAAGTGGTTCTTGATCCAAAGCTTCGTTCCAGATGCTGTTGATGTTGAGGGGAGGATATATTTTTTGGACCGGTCTAGTTTAGCCGCTGTGGACTTTTGAATGCACTTGTTGAATGAATGAGGCTAGTGCAGCTAACACATGCGCTAATGTGTTTTTTCACATTTTCTTTCCCTGCGGCCATTTTGAAAAAGGCACATTTGTTTCAACGGCGAAGATAGGCGTGACAACGTCTGTTCATATTTATTATTATCATTATTGTTTATTTGTTTGAGACAGTACATGTTCATGAACAGATCCCTCCTGTACCTTGAGCTCATTTCCATCCGTCGTCCCACATTTGCGCACTCAAACACACACTCATTCACCCTGAACTATTGCACATGTTTTTAGTGGTAGGGGAAACCGGAGTACATGGAGGAAACCTACGCAGACACAGGGAGAACATGCAAGTCTATGGAAAAAAACACATTAGTGCATGAGTTAGCTGCATGCTCGACAGCATCTGGAACGTAGCTTTGGACCTTCCTGTAAAGACATTTTCAAGAGGAAAAAAGGCAAAATGCTAAAGCTAGGCTACATGCTAAAGCTAGGCTACATGCTAAAGCTAGGCTAAATGCCTCACTCACTCGGGTTCATTACATACATCACGGTGAACTCAGATCCAATGGTTTCAATCTGCAAAAGGAGTTAGCCCCGCCCACCTGTTAACGGAGTCAATGGACCAGACAATAGTACCAAATGAAATGAGTACCATGGTGCGGTAAGACCAGGCTAATACTCACTCACTGTTGTGTGATTTTCAGCCGAAGCAGATTGGAGATGACTTCTGTGGCCTTGTGCTGAACCAGCCTCTGGGCGGGCTGCGAGTGATCGAAGGACACCCACTCTACGAGGACCGCACTCAGGGCATGGGCGCCGTGGCCGGGTACACCTACGGAGAGGACACCGTGGTCTTCGTGGGGACCAGGACTGGGCAGTTAAAGAAGGTAAGACCCGGACCCTGAGTCTGCTCCATGTGGCTGTGTCCTCCTGCTTTGTTCCTGCTGCCGTTTGGGGTTTACGCTGTTGTTTGGTTGTTTTCTGATGATTTTGCTGAGATTGTTGTGACCGCTTCACCGTCCATATTTAAACTAGAAATATGTAAGATTTTCATGTCCAGTCATCATAAAGGGCCCTAATCTGTCATCACTAAAGGGCCCTAATCTGTCATAATTAAAGGGCCCTAATATGTCATCATTAAAGGGCCTAATCTGTCATCATTAAAGGGCCTAATCTGTCATCATTAAAGGGCCATAATCTGTCATCATTAAAGGGCCCTAATCTGTCATCATTAAAGGGCCTAATCTGTCATCATTAAAGGGCCATAATCTGTCATCATTAAAGGGCCCTAATCTGTCATAATTAAAGGGACTAATCTGTCATCATTAAAGGGCCATAATCTGTCATCATCAAAGGGCCCTTCTCTGTCCACAGGCATTCATAAAACCGTAGTTCAGAGATATTTGAATTTCTAAATTACTTTTCCAGCCCTTTTATCTTGTTATTGTTTTCATTTCGATGTCCCGCCCTCCACCGTTTCACCAATCAGAAAGTCTGTGATCCGGGCGCCAGAACTCACCGCGTGGAGCTAATCTCACTGGTAAAGTACCATGTGGCGCAGAACTAAAAAAGGTCTCGTTATGATTCTCAAATCATTAACGACAAAACAAGGAATAAAACCAGGATTTCTATCTTTGTGAAAAAGGTGTTGGTTATAGATTTGTTGTTGACAAAACTCTTGTCTATTCAGCTGTTATGGTCCCAGCTGGATTCGTCTGCATATCTGGCAACCTGAGTCAGGGAGAGTGGGAGAGGCTGCAGTACCACTTTCGGACACATGTTTACAGACTGCTGCTTTAACGATGCCTTTTTCACCTCTTTGATCCTGGATTATTCTGTACGGTCTTCTCTGTGAGTCTTGTCAGCTCTCCTCATGTGAGTTTGAATACATTAGATTTACCTTTTAAACTCTGAGATGCAGCGTCTACTTAAAACAACACGACAGTAACTAAAACGAACTAACCCAATCTCGACAGGAATGTGGCACAAACATCAGCTGTTTCACTTGAGCTTGAAAATACTTATGTAAAAGTAAACATTTCATTGCAGTCTGTAAACATATGGCCAAAAGTGGTACTGCAGCCTCTCCCACTCTCCCTGACTCAGGTTGCCAGATATGCAGACGAATCCAGCTGGGACCATAACAGCTGAATAGACAAGAGTTTTGTCAACTTCAAATCTATAACCAACACCTTTTTCACAAAGATAGAAATCCTGGTTTTATTCCTTGTCCCTCTTGCTCCGGCTTCAGTTTCTTGATATTTGGATTGAACCAGAACAGATTATTTTACTATCGCATTCTCCGACAAACTACAACCAGCAAATTCAGCACAAACTCTTGACGTCACCGACACCGACCTACAACACCCGCCTCCCCCGCTCTCTGATTGGTCGGAGGGGATTCAACCGAGGAAACTGCAGCCACTAGGATCAGACCCAGACGTACATGTAGGAAATGACCATGGACCAGAGTTTACACATGGTAAGACCAGACGTACATGTAGGAGATGACCATGGACCAGAGTTTACACATGGTAAGACCAGACGTACATGTAGGAAATGATCATGTACCAGAGTTTACACATGGTAAGACCAGACGTACATGTAGGAAATGATCATGTACCAGAGTTTACACATGGTAAGACCAGACGTACATGTAGGAAATGACCATGGACCAGAGTTTACACATGGTAAGACCAGACGTACATGTAGGAGATGATCATGGAACAGAGTTTACACATGGTAAGACCAGACGTACATGTAGGAGATGATAATTAACCTTGACTTTACAGATAGCTAAGGCTAAGCTAGCATGTCCTCAAGTGAGTCCAGTCTTAGCCTTGGAGACCTGAGGACATGGGTGTAGGTTGGTGTGTCCCTGGAGCTGCACTTCGAGGACTTTGAGTGGATCTCTGCTGAACATACCATGGTTTGCAGGAGCCACATTGGAAAGACTTGTACATTTATGTGTGTTTCGAGGGAAGCAGTTGCCCTAAATATGTGATTGACAGCTGTGTTGACTTCGCGATCATCTGCGACGCGTACTTTTCAATCTGGAGCTCTGCGTCGTAAACAATCAATGCAACAGGTGTCTGATTCACATTTCTAGTTTGTGAAATATTACCCACTCCTCTCCCTTTCTCTGCTCTCCCTCCGTCACCGATATTTGGAATCCATTTTCTCCGGCGTCTCATTCTGCTGCAGCTGTGGAGCCTCCTGCCTCAGATTGGAAGGAGAAAGGCGCTGATTGTTCGCTGTTTCCTCAAGTCATTAAACTCTTTGTGATTTAACAAATAAGTGGGCTCCGAGCCAATCAGAGTGCTCGGATTTTAACGTCTGAAATAACTGTTTATTATGGCACCTGCTGCTTCTTCATCTGCATTTGATACAATTAGGATTATAATAGACACCTGTTACCTCTTTATTAGCACCAGGGAGATGGGTACGGCCTTTATTCTACTCACGGGAAGTCACTTTTTGCAAAATTATGTTTGTTTTTTCCTTTTAAAATAGCAATAATCATCATTAAAGGGCCCTAATCTGTCCAAAGGCATTAATTAAATATGCTCTTTTCAAATATTTCTTTAACTAATGATAAAATTAGATTAGTTTTACAGTCTCTAAATCTTGTTATTGTTTTCATTTCGATGTCCCGCCCTCCACCGTTTCACCAATCAGAAAGTCTGTGATCCGGGCGCCAGAACTCACCGCGTGGAGCTAATCTCACTGGTAAAGTACCATGTGGCGCAGAACTAAAAAAGGTCTCGTTATGATTCTCAAATCATTAACGACAAAACAAGGAATAAAACCAGGATTTCTATCTTTGTGAAAAAGGTGTTGGTTATAGATTTGTTGTTGACAAAACTCTTGTCCCTGGACTGTCCCCTGGACTGCAACCTTAACGTGGTGGGGGAGTTTGAGTACTCGGATGATCCTGGGAGCTATGCTGTCTGGGGCTTCATGCCCCTGGTAGGGCCTCCCATGGCAGACAGGTCTCAGGTGACGAGTCAGACGAAGCGCAGTCCAAAAACCACCATGGATCGCACTATAACGAGAACAGTGACGTCGCCCGGCATGGCGCAGCCGGGGCCCCACCCTGGAGCCAGGCCTGGGGTCGGGGCTCGTATGCGAGCGCCTGGTGGCCGGGCCTTAGCCCACGGGGCCCGGCCGGGCTCAGCCCGAAGGGATGACGTGGGCAGTCCCTCCTGTGGGCCCACCACCTGCAGAGGGGTCCGTGGTGGCGCGGTGCTGAGAGGACTGGGCAGCAGTCGAAGGCGGAGACCTCGGCGACCCAGTCCGCACACACAACATCTGGCTCTTGGGACGTGGAACGTCACCTCACTGGGGGGGAAGGAGCCCGAGCTCGTGGGGGAGGTTGAGCGATACCGACTAGAGATAGTCGGCCTCACCTCCACACACAGCTTGGGCTCTGGAACCCAACTCCTTGAGAGGGGTTGGACGCTCCACTTTTCTGGAGTTTCCCGCGGGGAGAGGCGGCAGCTGGAGTGGCCATTCTCATTGCCCCCCATCTCAGCCGCCATGTGTTGGAGTTCTCCCCGGTGAATGAGAGGGTCGCGTCCCTCCGCCTCCGGGTGGGGGACAAGTCTCTCATTGTTGTGACGGCCTACGGGCCTAACAGCAGTGCAGAGTACCCGGCCTTCTTGGAGTCCTTGGGAGGGGTACTGGACGGTGCACCGCCCGGGGACTCCGTTATTCTCCTGGGGGACTTCAACGCCCATGTGGGAGTCGCCAGTGACACTTGGAGAGGGGTGATCGGAAAGAACGGCCCCCCTGATTTGAACCCGAGCGGTGTTCAGTTGTTGGACTCCTGTGCCAGTCACAGTTTGTCCATCACGAACACCATGTTCGAGCACAAGGGTGTCCACCAGTGCACGTGGCACCAGGACACCCTAGGTCGGAGGTCGATGATCGACTTTGTTGTCGTATCATCTGACCTTCGACCGCGTGTCTCGGACACTCGGGTAAAGAGAGGGGCGGAGCTGTCAACCGATCATCACCTGGTCGTGAGTTGGATCCGCTGGCAGGGGAAGAAGCCGGCAGACCTGGCAGACCCAAGCGTATAGTGAGGGTCTGCTGGGAACGTCTCGCTGAGCCCCCTGTCAGACGGACTTTCAACTCGCACCTCCGGGAGAGTTTCTCCCAGGTCCCGGCGGAGGAGGGGGACATGGAGTCCGAGTGGACCATGTTCTCTGCCTCAATCGCCGATGCGGCGGCTCGTAGCTGTGGTTGCAAGGTCTCTGGTGCTGGTCCCGGCGGCAACCCCCGAACCCGGTGGTGGACACCGGCAGTAAGCGATGCTGTCAGGCTGAAGAAGGAGTCCTATCGAGCCATGATGGTTCGGGGGACTCCTGAGGCAGCTGTCCAGTACCGGCAGGCCAAGCGTGCCGCGGCCCGGGCAGTTGCAGAGGCAAAAACCCGGGACTGGGAGGAGTTCGGAGAGTCCATGGAGCATGACTATCGGTCGGCCTCGAAGAGATTCTGGCAAACCATCCGGCGCCTCAGGAGGGGGAAGCAGTTCTTTGCCAGCACCATGTACGGTGCGGGTGGAGAGCTGCTGACCTCGACTGGGGATATTGTCGGGCGGTGGAAGGAATACTTTGAGGTTCTCCTCAATCCCCCCGTCACGTCCTCTGTTACAGAGGCAGAGGCTGAGGATGTTGGGGCGGATACATCCATCTCCCTGGCTGAGGTCACCAAGGTGGTTGGTAGCCTCCATGGTGGCAAGGCTCCGGGTGTGGATGAGATCCGCCCTGATTATCTAAAGTCTCTGGATGTTGTAGGACTGTCTTGGCTGACACGTCTCTGCAACATCGCGTGGCGATCGGGGGCAGTGCCAATGGAGTGGCAGACCGGGGTGGTGGTCCCTCTCTACAAGAAGGGGGAC